AATTTCTGGGGTCTTTGTATACATCAAGGAAGGCCAGATCGAGTTAAGTGCTAACCAAATTTAAGCCTCTATTAATGTATTTAGCTCTGTCTGCAGACTTGTGCAGTCTTGGAAAGGCTTTTGTCTCTCACAGAGTCCTGTCCATAAAACGAGGCATAGACAGCAGCTCCTATCTCTTCCCATCTTGACATTTCAGCTGGACATCTGTTCAGGCAGGAGCTGCACTGAATGATGCTGAGGTGCTGAGTTTTGGCTTTCAGCTGAAGGTTCTCTTTGGTAATTGGGAAATGTCATTATTCCCCCCTTCCAAAAAAAAAAAAATGTTTTCTAAAAACATGAGAAAGTGAAGAGAAAACTGAAGGCTGATGTCCTTTGCAGACCAAAGTGAAGACTATTCATGGTATAGTCGTGCAGTTTGGTATTTCTTTTCACTCTATTCTATGGCACTTCAGTATTTTTCCACAATGTGTTCAAAGCCTGTGTTTTGACAGGGCTGCCTCTGAAGGTGTGACAGCGCTTCTGTGAGGCTTCCCATTCTCTGTTCGACCCCTGTAACCCTTCACAGCACTGTTCTCTCTGCCTGGGGATATCCCCCGTGGTTGCATCACCGTACTGAGAGATGGCTTCGAGCAATGGCTGGAATTTACACGGGCACGATGGCTGGGCTGGGCTGGGCCATCACCACCACAGCTGTGTAAAGCACAGTGGGATCTTTAGTGACCACAAATGGTCACAGCTGTGGTTTTACACTGGATCCATGCAGAAGTGTGCATGGCTGCGTGCAGCCCCAGAGCCACCGCTCCAGCCTTGCTCAGGAGTGACTCAAAACACTTCTGTTCCCCTTCTGCAACACCCAGGATTTTTCCCCAGCTTTTCCCAGGCTCGAGCCTGGTGTGCGAGAGGCCGATATCAGAACTGGTGCTGTTCCACAAGGCTCTGCCTTCCTTCTGCAGGCTGTTCTCTGTGCTTCATACAGCTGGTGCTTTTTTTTTATTTTTCTTTTCACTGTTGATGGAAGGAGCTTCATGGAACTACCGTAAGCTGCCTCTTAGTAATGACCTATTAGCAAAGCCAACAATAACAGCACTGTCTAGACCATCTGAACGCAGCTAAATTATTCCTTTGTCCCTTCTTCATTTGCTTTCTCTCCTGACGGCTGAATTGTTTTGGGTGGTCCCTGTTGACCTTCAGGCTCACTCTTTCTCCTTTGCTTATTTTTGTTGTTATTCACCAGTAAAGCTGCAGTGCTAAGACTGAAACTCCAGGTTCCTCTCTGCTGCACGCATAGCAGAACTGAGGCGCTGTAGCAGCACCAGGATCTCGTCTCTGCAGGAGATGTGTCATGTTGTGGCTTTCTGATTTTACTTCGTAGTAGATTTTGCAAGTGCTGAGTACTCGAATTCACATCGGTAGTGCCTGGGACCTGTGAGTCTTAGCGTCTTACAGAGCTGATTAGAGAAAGAAGTACTCCAGTTTAATGTAAGAACCTGCCAAAATGGATCAGCACTGTGACCCTATGGCTTTTATTAAAGTCTAATGTCAACCTTCCCGTGTCCATCACAGCTCTGTAGTCACTGCTTCCTGAGCGTGCTCCTGTCTGACCTCTTCTTACCTCAGCTCTTCGTGCTTCCCTGCAGGCCAAAGCTTTGGGAAATCATTGAGACCTTTTGGCTGTGGTCCTTGATTGGGTGGATGTGATTGATTGAGCTTCATCACAGGAAGCTGATTAAGAAGCACAAAATTGGGGTGTAAATGGGGAAGCAGAGAGCAAAGCAGAGAATTCACTCTAACGGAGATGGCTGAAAGTCAATGAGGAACCAAGGGTGAAAGAAGAGAGACTGTTACTCCTGTTTATACATGGTGCTGGGTAGAGTGTGAAGGATTTGTTTTACAGGGGTTTCATCTCATCAGCCTGCAGCACCGCTCAGTGAGTTTATGCAGAATGGTGCCAACTGGGCTGGGAGGTTCTGGATGAAGGCTTGTGCTGTGCAAGTTCAGAGGGTGGCTTGAGTCCCCAAGTCCATCTGGGCCCTGCAGAATGCTTCACTGGTGTTGTGCAACTTGCAGTTGTTTTGCTCTGGAGCAGCGGCAAAGCCTGGGAAGATGCCTGCTGTGTAGCCTCCAAGGTGCCTTCTCATGAGGCCAGGTGCTAGATCAGGAGAACCTGATCTTTTGTGTCCCTCAGTGTGGGATTCCCTTTGTTTCCCTGGTATTTTTCCTTGGGGAAAGCCATCCATCCTGCACCCTCTGCTTGCTTAAAAGGAGCCTGTGACGCTCCTTTTGCTGTAGAGGCTTGGGAGTGGCATTTGGATTTAATTATCCAGTGAGCTTCAGTGCTGGTTTGAATTTTGACTGAACTGGCTGAGCTGGCTGCTCGTTTCCACGGAACAGAGTTCTCCACCCTTCCAGGGAGTCAACTGGGAGACCCCAGGAGCAGTAACAAGGATGGGCAAGAGGCTCTGTCTGGAAAGCATCAGTCCCTGTGCAAAGCTGACATCAAGAGGACTGGGAAGCATTGGTTTTGCAACTGATTGTGCAAATGGTGTCCTGCTCCGAGCACGTCGTGGGGTTTTTTCCACTTTGTTTTGGGCACTTGAGCCCTCAGCCATAATCCCTCTGATTGTGCTGAAGCAGTGTGCTCTGATAGGCAGACGTTTCATGATTTGGTGTTGGAAAACAGCCTTTCCTGTTTCAGCCCCATGTGATGGGATAAGCAGTGAGAGCATGGACGTTTTCAGTACATCTCCAGGGAGATGTTTTTGTGGGTTTTTTTAGGCTCAACCATTTGCATTTTGCAGAGTGATGGGGTTCACCTCTGCTTAAGGATCCCATTGTTGTGATGGATTAATTGGTGCCACGGGTTCATCCTGGACATCCCCTCTAAAATGTAATTCATGCTGTCACTCTCTTCTGCACTCTTAATCCCCAGTGGTTGGAACTCTTTAGGACATGGTCTGTGGGCCAGCAGGGTTTGGGGCAGCTCCTGGGGCTGCCAGGTCCTTTGCTGGGTGTCTGGGAGGCAGGCAGCTGGGACACTCACTTGGATGGTCCTATGTCCTTATGTGTTAGAGTGCTGTTATTATTATCAACACTATTATAGATATTATGGTCATCTCCAGCAAATCCTGCTGTGTTTCCTCTTTAGGACGGGCACTGCTGACTTGAGTAAGTCCTAAAACATCTCTGCAGGGCACTGATGGATTAACCAGAGGTGCATCTTCTTGCAGAGGTGAGCAGTGTGGTTGTGCCAGCAGAAGCCTGGCTCTGCCACTGCCTGCTTTAGCTCTGTTGCCCCGTGGCATTGGAGGCTGCATTCAGTTTCAGCAAGTTCAGGAAACTTTGGTTGTCATTCTGATTGGAAAAAAGAAAGAGGCGAGGAGTGTTGCAGAGATGCAGATTAGGTGGAAAATTCCTACAGGGTGGTATATGTGGGGGGTTGTGTGTATTTGTTTTATTTTTTTATTTTTGCTTTTTTTTTTTTTTTTTTTTTAAACTTGTCCCTCCCTCTTTCCTTTCCCCTTCCACAAAAAAGAGGCTTTTTTTTGTGTGTGTGTGTTGGTTTTTTTCCTACTACAAAATCCATGTGGAAAACCAGGCTTGTCCCCAGAGGTCCCTCTTACACCCTCCCTCCTCACTCCCCCCCAAAAAATAAAAGTAAATATGGGAAAATTGCAGCATTATTATTGCAGCAGTTCAGGTTGTGCTTCCTACCACCTCTCTTATTCTCAGGGGTCAGGGAGGTAGGGAAGAGGGGGGGGGGAAATTTATATATAAGCATTAAACCTATAATTAATAGAATAATAAATAATATTAAGCTTATCATATACTGTGTATTGTTGACAAAAGAAAAAGTTTTTCTGTACTTTAAAAGAAAAGCTGTTTTTTAGACATCTTTCCTTTTTTTTTTCCCCTTATTTCTTAACCCAGCGATGGCCCCGGCGTACACAGCGCACATGACAAGTCTTCAACTCTTTTTGTCACAGCTTCACTCTTTAATAGCTGCCCCTTTGGACCAGATTCTCACTGCCTCCTAGCAGACGTGCCCTGCCCTAGCTCCTGGTACATGCCCGTGCATGTGCCCGTGCTGGGTACCTTGCATGCAGAGGTTGATAGCTGATTTCAGAGTCCACGTGCACCAAAGGAGAAGTGTTGAAAAGGGAGGAGATTGGTTTCATATCCAGTGGGTCTGTCAAGCCTCTTTGGTTATCATAGTATCATAAATAGCCTGGGTTGAAGAGGACCACAATGCTCATCTGGTTTCAGCCCCCTGCTATGTGCAGGGTCACCAACCAGCAGACCAGGCTGCCTAGAGCCACTTCCAGCCTGGCCTTGAATGCCTGCAGGGATGGGGCATCTGCAGCTTTCTTGGGCAACCTGTTCTGGTGCATAACACTGGAACACTGGTTACTGCACTGGTTACTGCAGAAATCTGAAATATCACATGTCCTTCCAGCCTTTCTTCTATCCTGGGTGGTTGAATTTGTTGCTTGTTCTGGTGAGTTTCTTGTCTTGTCCTGTGGTTGCTCACTGGCTCTGGTTTTGAAAGTCAGTTGTGTCTCTTGAGCATCTTTAATGAAGAGGAGGGAAGGAGGGCACAAAGAGCTGGGTTATGCTCCATCACTTGCTGCAAGAGCTTTTTGGGTTCTGAAAGATTCGCTGCACAGAGCACCGTCTTCAGCCTAACAAACTGATCCAGCCCTCTGAACACTGCATCTAGCCTATAGGCCCCACCTTAAATGACCTCTGAAGGGCATAGGCAGAAAACTTGACTCTTCAGGGGATCTTTGTCTCTACTGATGAAGAGACTTTCATATACACAGTGGGCTGGGAGGGATTGTGGTGTGCAGTCTTACAATGCCTCTCTTAATGGCAAAGCTGGATATCATGACTTTCAACACATTTGGGTTGAATGATTACATATGTGATGCTGTATTTTTTGCTTTGCACTCCCAGGGATGAGGTTACCTTCTGTGCTTCAGTTGTCTGTCCTTCTTTTGCAGATGAAGAAGAAGCTCTGAACTCTATTATGAAGGATTTGGCAGCATTGGGCAAATGTGGGGGATTGCTGGACAACAACAGGAATAAAAACTGTGTCTACTCCAGCAAACAGGTAAGGCATTGTTTGAAATGCCAAACTCCAGTAGGCTGAAGAGGCAGGTAGGAATGGTGCTCACCAGGCTGGGAAAGCAGAGTTTAAATCATGGAATTGTGAAGTATCTCAAGTTGGAAAGGATATACAAATATCATATAGTCCAACTTCTGTTAGATGTTAAGTGTTAGAGTAGATGTTAGTTGAGTGTTAAAGACCAACTCAACAAGTGTTGTGTGGGCTCATAACATAGGAACAAATGTTATCAACATACAAGCTTTAGAACTTCTTTTTGAAGAGCTGCAAAGAAACTGCAGTGATCCCCGTATCACAGAGGGGCAATGGAGGAGCAGGGGTTAAAAATGATACCCCAAATAATTCCTAAAGGTAATAAAAGAGCCTGAAAATGTTGTATAGCTCAAATAACACCATAAGGCACTTATTTCTTTTAGCACTGAATCCAGTTGAACTTGCTACAAGCTCTGCAGCTTTAAGGCTTGGATTAGTCAAGTGTTTTCTACTGACAGTGTTGATGAAATGTAATATTTATCGTGTGCACATTCTACTTCAGATATTTGAAAGATGGATTGCCAACTTTGCGCCGTAGACACCCAGGCTCTTTTGGGAGGAATAATGTCATTCTTATATAAAGTGTTTAAACACTAATTACTATTGTTTATCTTTATGCTCCCAAAACCAAACATTTTGGCCGTGTTGAACATTCAGAGTTGCTTTGGTGAGCAAAAAAGTTGTCCCTTGAGCAATATTAGGAGTTACTTGCTGACACTGATATAATAGCTAAAGTGAATTTAATAGCTTAGTTGCATATGGAATGAATACGTTACCGAACTAAATGTGTGAAGAAAAGATTCAGTTGTCAAAATACCAATGAGAGAAAACAAAAAATGGAGGGGGGGGGAATAATTAGGAGTACCAGGAAGCTTCTGAAGAAGCATGCAAGTAAATCTACTTGGAATATTATTTCTAGTGCTGTGACTTAGAATAAGCTTGCACTCAATGTCATAATTACTGATTGCCTAGCAAGGAAGGAACCGCATTGTCATTTGAAATTGTCATGTGTGTTTTAATGGCATTTGTGCTACGAACAAACGTGGGATGAGGCAAAAAGTCCTCTTCCCAAATCATGGATTCCCTCCAGGCTTCCTCGACACGTGCAGACGAAAGCACATGCGCACGTAGCGTGTCTGTTTCAGAGTGTGCCCTGGTGGTAGCAGCTGTCCAAGTTGAATCACTGGAGTTGTGTTCAGCTCATGCTGAAAGAAATCCAAGATGTTTGCAGAACTGACCGGAGAAAGTCGGAGCTGGCTCTGTGCAGCTGCAGGCGAAGCAGACACAATCCAGCACAGCCCTGGCTGGCTCCAAGGGTAGCATGTTCTGCAAGTTGGTGGGTGGGGACCATCCCGAGCCATTTCAGGATGCTTTCGTGGCAGCAAAACTTCTTAAACTTCTCTTAAATGACATTTTTGTTTCCTCACAGCTGGAGAAAATTCCTGCTGTCATTCTTGAAAACTAGCTCTAGACACTGCAGTGATGCAGCTAACTAACTATTGAGTCAAAATAAGAAAAAGAATAGTTTTCATTGGCTGAATCATTAACCGCAGGAGTTTTATAGAATTGAACTTTTTATTCACAGCCCAGCCTCTCCATACCTTCACTTACAAATTGCCGGTGGGATCCCGTTGTGCTTTGCAATCAGTTTTAGAATTGTTAGCTGCCTCCTGCATTTTGTTTTACTGTGTTAGGAATCAAAGTCCTTCCAAATTACAACACTGATGCTTAGGGAAGCCTTCCTTCCTTTCTGGTTTTTCTTTTTGTCCACGAGCGGGCCGGCTGTACCTATGCACTCAGAGTTACTCAGAGCTCTGTGATGGAGGAGGCACAAGTAGTCAGCATCCCATTTTACTTGTGCATCCGGGGCTGAGGACTCAGACCAACAGGCCCCACGGGATGAAGGGCGTTGGAGCATGTTGAGTTGTTGCTTCATTTAATCTGACTAGCTGGAAGAATTCTCGCTCGCGGGACGATGGGAGTCTAGTCTGCGAGGAGGGGAGTGGCCATAGTAAGTGGAATTAGTGGGGATTTGGTTCATGTTTGAATCTCAGAAGCGTTAATCAACTTGTTTGGGTCTCTTTTAGGCTTTTTTTTTCTTTCTAAGCAGAGAAATTGTGGCGGGGGCACGGGAAACATTGCTTTAGAAATGCTGTTGTCATGCCTGTGAGCTGTTGTTCATTTGGTACTTGGTGTTCCTGTTATTTTTTCTGTGATGAGGTTGGCTGGTTGGGCTGAAGGATGTCCTTTCTTGGAGAGGGAGTGTGAGGCATGGGGCACTTGGATGCTCAGTTCTCTTTTTGGAAGTGCAGGTGTCTCCCATGAGGCCCTGCAACAGTATGCTCACATTGTAATGCTTGGGTTTGAACGTTCAGTTCTTAGATTAAAAAAACAAAACAAAAAAAGGCAGTATTTTGCTACGGAAAAAATGCTTCACTGAAGCATGGGAATCCTTCAGTCAGCATTCCAAATTTCTGCTGAAAAACATTTTAGACAAGAATGTGTTGCCCAACCATCCTGTCCCTTTGTGACTTGGCTGCAGTCTTTTGGTCCGCACAGAAACGCAACCAAAATGCTGCCTCATCCCCGGCTCCTGGTGGGTTCTGAAGTGCTCTCTTGACAGAAGATGAAATCTGAAATCTGGAGCATGCCAGACAGTGCTGCTGGTAGGACTGGGCCACACAAGAGCTTGGTCTGTGATGCTATGGGCTATGCAATATTTCTTTCCAAAGATATCGGTGGTTTTGTTTCAGATTGTTTTATAGAACAAACTTTTCCTTAGGCAAATGGCATGAAAATCTTTCTTTTTTTAAAATTTGCTTTCCTTACAAACGAGTTTCAGACTAAGGCTGAGATTCTGAATGTCTAATGCTACATAGCAGAAAAGAGGAGAAATGAGAGCTGTAATACCTGGTACATGATGTGGATGAGTTTTGTGGCATAGGTTGCCCATGAAATTGGCAGCAGATGAGATGGCTGAGCTTGAGCCTCCCAAGACCTGGTCAGGTCTGTGGGTCACCATGTTACGCTGCCTTTTTGGCTTGTGGGAGAGTGATGGATGCCTTTTTCTTTCTGCATATGAGCCGCAGTCTTTAAAAGGGAGTTGCCTTCTGGGAACACGGAGCACCTTGACATTATTCTTAGTTCATCCTCTCCTTTATTATTCCTCCATTATTTTTTTTTGTCATTTCTTTATTCCCATTGTTTTCTTTGGTATGGCTGGAAAGAGTCCTTCCAGGCAGGCTCCTCTGTTCTCCAATCACCAGAGAAAGGGGAAGGAGGAAACAGCAAAACAAAGATATGTGTTATGGTCACTAATGAGATAGATGAATGGGATAAGAAGGGAAACCACAAAGAATTAGAGATCCCAAACAAAAGCGTGGAGGAGAAAGAAGCAATTATATTAACTTACTTTGCATCTGTCTGTTTATATGCACATCCATTTAACTCTATAAATAGCACTTAGCTGCTAGCAGAATGAGGATGCTTGTCAGTGCTGTGTTCAGTCTAATGACAAGGTATTGGCATGGGCCTCTGTCACAGCTGATGACAATCCTCTGCCATGTTAATTTTGATTGCAAGTTCTCGTATGGCAATAAAGTCCAATATTTGTGAAGAATGTTTTCCTGTGTGCAGCAAATGTCAGACTGACCTAAAAGTTGTTCTTTTAGTAAATTACTCGGTACTCTCTTTTCTTTGGCAAGCTGGGAGCGAGGCACGGCTTGCTCATTATGAGAATAAAACACAGCTCGTGTTCTAGGGCTCTCTGTAGGTCTTGGTGCAGTCTAAAAAAGTAATTTGGCTTTAACACCTCTGTTTTACCACTAGGAAGTGTGAGGGTCTGTAAATACTGCCTTGAAGAAGGGAGTTGCTGTGAGGAGAGCTGCAGGATTTTCCTCACTTTGGGAGCAGAAGCAAGAGACCAAGAGGGGAGAGAAAGGCTTGGCTGGGGCTGGTAACAGCTGCAGAGTCCCAAGGATTGGGGATGGGGGGGAGGTTTCACCTTGCCTGTTTTGGCACTGACTTGCATGCCACAAGGTAACACCCGGTGGAAATCCAACTGGGGAAAAGCTGTGTGCGCCAGGTAGGTGGTTTGAGATGAACGACCTGAAGTCCTTGATCTGTGGCATTGAGGGACGTGGTTGGTGGGCATGGTGGTAATGGGTTGATGGTTCAACTAGATGATCTTAGAGATCTTTTCCAACCTTTTCTGTGATTCTATGATTATTTTTTTTTTGCTGCTGTGTAAAGCAAAAATGTCTGTAACTGAGAGCTGTGAGCCCTCTAGACATCATCTATCTTCCCACTGGCCACTGAGCTGCTCACTTACTGCGCTTTCTTCTTCAGATGAAAAGAGCTTGTAAGGATCCAGGGGGACCAGGGTATCTCGTCACTCCCACCCACCAGGAGGACAATCCCAGACAAAACTCCTTCTGTTGGATTATTCTGAATAACCCAAAGCGCGTGGGGGTTCTGTGTGGATAATTCCTAATGACGTGAATTAGTCATCTCCTATTGTGGTTTAGGGACACGGTCCAGATGTCTGGCTTGTAACGAACGTCCCGTTGCTAAAAGCGAGGTTAAGCACAGGACTAATCCAAACAACATGCGTGTCGGGGAGGTGGAGAAGGGCCCCTTGGCCTGGCCCTGTGGTGCTGATTTCTCTCGACCAAAGCCAGAAATTGAGGAGAAAACCCACCATTTTGTGGCTTTACTGAAGAGTAACTGGGGCTCTGATGCTCGAATGCCACAGTGCTCTGTGGGGTTTTCTCATTGTTTCCTAAGCCAGCAAAGTAGAAAATGAAATAGGTGGAAAATAACCACTCTTCCAACCCTCCAGCATGCAGGAATGAGTCTTTTTTTATTGTCCCTATTTTACCCAGAAGGGACCCTGAGGCAAAGTAGGTGCCCCAAGGTGTCACGGGAAAGAGCAAAACTAGAATGACTCTCTTGTTTCATTGTTGGGTCAGAGCAGAACAGCATTTCTAATGGCAGCCATATGGCCCTGCATGATGGATGCCCTCATCCACCAGCATGGCATTGGACTCCATCCCAGCTCGGACTCATGTTCCCTATGTGGTCTCCTGTCTGGGTGGGAAGGGGCTGAGGGTGCTCAGCACAGCCTGCTCCTCCAAAACCATTTCCATTTTAGGCTTCAGTGCGTGTTTTGCCGCGCTATGTGTGCTTTTATTACAAACAGCAGTCGGCTCTTCGGGGATCTCTGCAGCGGATCATGATTCACTTCGTTTGGAAGCACTTTCTCCATTTTTCCGACATCTCATTTCATCCCGTCCAGCTCACTCCGGTTTTCCGGAGGGTTCTGCGGCCGCCTCTCATCTCATGTCTCCCACTGGACCCCTTCATGAGGGCCGTGCACAGGAGGCTTTCCCCTGCTGCCATGATGCCCCCCATTGCCACGGGCCCAGCGTGCGGCTGCAGCCCCCTTAGTGCTTCTCAGGGGCTGTGAGCTTTTTCTCTTTGTGAAATTGAAAGTTTTAAGGAAAGAGCTAAAAAATACTTTCTGGAAAGCCTGGGAAGATGGTGATGTGTTTGCTGCTGCAGCAGTGGCTTTGCTTTTCCATTCCTTTCCTAGGCAGATGACAAGAAAGAGTGAAAGACCAGCAGCCGTTTGTTAGCCGGGCTGGAGGAAATGCCAGCACAAGGGTGTCGGGGAAGAAATTATTCCAGAAACGAAAGGAATGGCTGTGGTATTTCCTCTCAGGGTCATCCCTGGTGTTGTTTGTCACAGCAGGGCCTCGAGGTGCCTTTTGAGTGCTCCCCTGTGCCACGTGTCGCACAGAAACATGGCACCCACAGGAGAGCAAAGCTTTACATCTTGGGTCTGGCACTGCTGTGCTTCACCATGGTGTCCCCTGGTGCTCCTTTATCTCTCTGAGCTTTCCAAGTTCTCCCTGAAGCCATAGCTGGCACCTTCTGTTGTGGCTCGGTGTTGAGGGCCAGTGCCTTACATTACAAGCTTACCTTTACCAGTGTCAATAACACACGTTCTTCTCAGACATCTCTGCCTGCACTGCTCCAACTGACGGCCTCTTGATCTCAGGCAGATGGAGGCCATCATTAACCACATTTGACACTGGGTAGCAGAGAGGCCTAGGCTGGGCCAGCAGTGTGGCTTGAGTTCTGCAAGTTGCTGTTGTCCCAATTCCTTACGAAATTGCAAAAATACTTGTATGTTGTGTTGAGATCCTTATGGAAAGATGCTACTTCTGCCTTCCTCTTCATCCCCCATTTGATGTGCATGCGGTTTTGCCCCAGCACTTGGCACTGCTCCACGTTCCCTGCGTGATCTAAAATGAGTTGCTCCGAACCAGATTTCCATGGGTGTGAAAAATCACAGCCTGCTCCAGCGTTTAGGAAGTGCTTTGCATCCTCTTGGGACTCTGTAGCACTTTGGGCACTGCCCTCTTTTTTTATTATTATTTTTTAAAGGAAAAAAGTACTTGGTGATGGTGATGAATTCAGCTTTAGCAATGAGTCAGAAACATGAGCAAGCCGTGGAAAGACTGCAAAATAAAACTGTAACCAACTTCTCAGAATATATATATATGCACATATATATTAATTTATGCTCTGTGTAATGTCTTTGTCCCTCCCCTATCCACATTTACACGCCTAGATCTGGGCTTCTTGGAGGGAGGTGAGAGGTTAATGGCTTTTATATTAGCCCAAAGAATTGTAATCCCATTAACAAATGCAGTGGTTTTCATTCCCTTGGTGCAGCCTGTGTGTTTGCTGCAGGGCTCAGACCCAGAGCAGAGCAACGTGGGGCAGCTGGCTTACTTTGTTGGCTTTGAGCCACAACACATCAGCCCTGTTGTTGATGTAGAAGAATAGGATGCAGCAGGGTCGTGGCTCTTTATTTTCCCCCTTTTTCTTCTCTCTCTGGAGCTTTAAACAAGCGTTATGATATTTTCCAGCCACAAGCTGTTTTCAAAACACTTATTTGTCTGCAAAATTTGTTTTGCTCAGCATAAGCACACAGTGTGCACTACCTCGATGTTCGGCGCAGCTTTCAGGTCTGTGCTGAAAGTGAAACCTGTGTTTGCAAGGGTTTCCTGCAGCGAGGCTGGAGCTGCGTGAGCTTTTCCCCTTGCACATCCTGCTCTTTTGTAAGGAGAAACCTCGAAAGTTCCTCGCCCTGATTTCTCTCTTCATTTAGAGAAGGACTCTGCAGAACTGCATGCTGTGAAGCCGTGCTGGCTGATTGCTTTCCAGCATCCAGGAGAGCTGAATTAGCCAAGTCCTTCAGATAAAATATATGAATGTTTTATTATTAAATAAAAAATGGCATAGAAAAGCCTATCTCTTTTTCTTTCCCTCTTCCTGAGAGATAATCAAAATTGGAATCCCACCCACGTTTGGCTGTCTCTACAGCCATAGATCTGAGTCTGTAGTGACTTGGATCTTCAGCAGTGGTCTGTTATGATCTTCTCTTCTTTTGAATTTTGGATTCTTTTAGACCTGCTGTGGTATTTTTTATGGTTTGGGCCTGGTGGTTGTAGAAGCAAACCTGGAGTTTGTCCAAATATTGTGGGTCTGGGGAGCTGGCTGCAAGCGCTGAAGTGCTGTAAGTGCATATAGCACTGCTGAAATGTCCCATTTTGTGACATGGATTCTTCCAGCTCTGCCAGGGAACGCAGCAAAGGCCACAAGCAGTGCTCTAAAGGATGTGTTTCAAGTGATGCAATGGGCTACCCTGCATCTGCCAGGGTTTTTAAGCTTTATTGACTGAGTTGCCTCTAGGCTCAACTTCCTGAACTTCAGTGGCTGTTTAAAAATAAACCTAAGAACACCCAGCCAGCTCATTTTCTTCATAAGAGACAAAGCTGTTTCGCTGCAGCTCTGCTTTCCCTCTGAGAATATGGAAAGTGTGCCTTCATGCACTGGAAATCCAGGGCTAGAGATAAGGCCCTTGCTCAGGAAGGGCTGTCACCCACCCAGACAGGGATTATCCATGGCACTGAGGGACCCAGTCCTCCTTGAGGTCACTCCTCTGAAGGAGATGGCGAGTGCTTTTTTTCTCCATGGGAGGAAAGCCACGGTTTGAGGAGGCTCTTGTGGGTTAGTGGGGCAGAGACGTGGGTAACTGAGGTGACTTAATGTGGTCTAGAATGTAAAGGGGCTTTTTATCTGCTTTGGATGCCATTGGAAAGTCACAGCACGAGCCAGAGGATCCTAAGGTATGCTTGGCCCAGGCTCAGTCTGAGAAGCTGAAGGAAAGAAAAAGCTCCTTGTGGTCTTAGAATAACTGGTAAATAAACACGGAGAAGATGGGAGAAGTGGCTTTTGCTAGTGACTGCATGGTTGCGTTCCCAGTCTGCCCACAGATCTTTGGAATTTCTTTGGATGAATCTGATGGTTTCTTTAGGGGTGAGCAGTAGGTCAGTTCAGGGTGCACGCTCACTTTGTAGGAAGCAGCGATGCCTGATGCACTTTGCATTTTGCATGCCCTAACAAAATAAGAATAGCAGCCATCCGCCCCAGCGCTGCTGGGTTTTAAAAGCCAAGGCTGTCTCTCTACTGCCATCAAAAGTTGCTTGCTTTTACTTTGTTCTCATTTCTTTGACCCAAGTGTTGATGTGTTCTGTAAGGTATCACCTGAGCTTTGCCCTTTTGGATTTTCAACAGAAAGCACTGGGCTAAATAAAGCCTCAGGGAGCACCACTGTGGGACAGACTGTCATATCAGACACTTATCTTGTTTATCCCTTTGATAATGGTGCCTCATTCTCAAATGAGCTCACAGCATTCGAAATTTCCCCGTTGTATTAATGTAGTTTATTAAAGTTACACAGATGAGAAAGTGTCATTTTCTTTTTAGAAGGCCTTCTTTTTGGGCAAGTTCACCTATTAGCAAAGCAATAGAGTTTTCCTATATATACAAGGCACCTAGCAGAGTTAGGGGAACTTCCCTGAGAATTACTGTGAGCTTTAGATGTGTCTGGGACCTGACTGTTTCCTGTTTTTTCTTTCAGCAGCGAAATGTCAGGATCAAGTTTGAATATGAAGGAGAGAAAAGGTATGTACCCAGCCCTGTCCCCATCTGTGCACAGGGACAAATTGCCCTTTTTACCCAGCATCATCCGACCGATTTCTGCCAGCTGCAGATGAGCTCACTGCAGGATTAAGTCCTGAAATCAATTACAAGTTTATATGCAAGAGCCTTGCCTCGTCACCCTGCTCACCAGAAGGACCTCTGGGGTTTGCATGCACTGAAAGTTCCAAGCTGGAAGTCATTAAATGCCCCTTACCAAAGACACAGGGTGCATGGTTGGATCCTTTTCTCTTTTCAGTTCTTGAGCCCTACTGAACCAGAGCTGAGCTGCAAGCCTACAGAATTGTGTCCTTTTAGTAGCAGCCTGCGACACTTACTTACGATAACCAGATTTTGGGCATGGGTCCCATAAAAATAGAGCTGGGTGTTAAAGCTTGCACACCCTTCCCTGCTTGACATTTTCATGGAATCACCTCTGCTTGATGCTTAGTGACCGTGGCAGGGCAGGATACAGAACTAGGAACTCATAGGCTGATGGTCAAGGTTGTATTTGAAATAAAATAAATAGTGTTAGTGTAGGGCTAAACTATACCTGCTGATATGTACCTGTGATGGTACAGGAGAGGCAGATTCACAGGATGCCAAATTGCATCGCTGTCTTTTCCATTCCCATTCCCTCTTCAGAACCACTTGCTGAAAGTGAAGGTGATAAATCACCCACTACTGCATGACCCAGGGGATTCTTCAGTGAAAAGCTGCTGTGCTTTCTTCTTTTCAACATGCAAACACAAGAGGGGGAGAAACAGAGGAGTTACACTAGAATTTTTGATAGAGTTCTTCGGCATAACAGATGAACAGCATTTGTGTGAATGTAAAAGCAAGGAGCAAGTTCTGTGCTTCATGGTAGAAGAGTACTAGTCCTTATTTCTGAATTGTCTGTCCAGTGCTGAATCCCACTGTGGTTTTACTAAACTGAAACTACTGTTCTGTTTATTTGCAAATGCAGGATCATCCAGTTTCCAAGACCAGTCAAATTCAAAGAAGTGGTGCAGAAAGTCACGGATGCTTTTGGACAGACGATGGACTTAGTCTGCATGAGCAATGAGGTATCTTCCCTTTATGGTTACAGGAGCATTTTAGGGTACCTGGCAGAGCTGAACAGTAATTCTTCTTAAGGCCATGATTTAGTGTTTCACAACTACGTGATGAAAAGTAATCTTACTCTGTGGCTTCCAACTACTAGGCAAACAAGAGCTGTTGCCCAGACGTAGCTCAGTTGTATTCTCTGACTCCAAACCAGGCTTTTGCTTTCTTGAAATGATTTCAGTCAAGGCTTATTAAATGATGACCTACATACATTGTCCTTTCCTCCAGACAAAAAAACAAAACCAACCTCAAAACAGGGAGGAACGAAGTAACTGAGATGATGGAGACATTGTCAATTCAGCTGCACAGCTGAGATGTTTCTCCATGAACAGTTTGGGCAGTGAGACCAACTTTCAGAGCACTTCTGGCTGGTAAGAGCACACATGGGGCAGAGAAGAGAGCAGCTGAGACCAGATGACTTTCATGAGAGCCACACAGAGCGATTCTAGACCATGTGTTTGGGTTGGATGTGAAGCCTCCTCATCCTGGGAGCAGTTTGAGGAGCATGCTGAAGTCTGGAGTGTGAGGGACAGCACTACTAAACCAGCATACTTTCATCCAGCACTGATTTTATTTCACCTAGAAAAGGCAGAACTATCTGCAGTTTGTTTCTGTGGTTAGGTCAGCGGTGAAATCACTGCTGGTTTCTCTAGCAGGTTCTGTCACTGCATTCTAATGGCCAAGAAACCTTCCCTCTGCAATGTGTTTTAAAACTTTAAAACTACTTTAAGTTGAAGGAGGGAAGGTGTAGGTTGGATATCAGGCAGAAATTCTTTACAGAGAGAGTGGTGAGGAGCTGGAACAGCTGCCCAGAGAGGCTGTGGATGCCCCATCCATCCCTGGAGGTGTTCAGGGCCAGGTTGGATGGGGCTCTGGGCAGCCTGGGCTGGTATTGAATGGGGAGGTTGGTGGCCCTGCCTGTGGCAGGGGGTTGGAGATTCCTGATCCTTCAGGTCCCTTCCAACCTGAGCCATTCTATGATTCATATGACAGATAGGCACCATTCCTTCTGGATCTGTCTCGATAGCTCACTTCTTGAAGAATTAATTGCAAATGCATAAGAACCTTTCATTGAAATACAAGGGAGGCTGTGAAGAGAGCTTTTTCTTTCCTTTTCTTTTTCCTTTTTTTTTTTTTTTTTTGCTTTTTTTTTTTCTGGGAGATTAGAGCCAGTGAAAGTTCCTATTCTGTATTAATAGATACCTCACGATACCAAAGCATCCTTTGGGCTTTAGCTTTGAATGTAGTCTGGTTTCTAATCTTGGGCATTCTCTGCCAGCCCTCCTGGGAAAAGCCTGCCATTGAATTCTTCAGGAATGACTCACTTCATTCCAGGTTTCTTTCCATTGGAAGAGGAATTTTTTTCCAACAATAGCAAATAGAAGCTTAAATAATGCATTTTATTCCACGTCAGAGACTATTCTTGGGTTTGTGGTGAGCACATAACAGGACCATGAGCTTGGGGTACTCCTTCGTAGGGATGAGGAAGAACTTTAGTGTTGTTGTTTTATATACATAAGAATTCCTCTTTTTGAGGACCTACACCTTTGGGAGCAGTAGCAATTTAGGGTTGTTGTACAAACTACCAACAGACAAAAATGACCTTTGGGGAGATGAGCTGTATGTCCACATGGTGCCCCCCAGGATCTGGCTCGCAGCATGCTCTGGGCCATGATTTTAATTGCATGACTGCAAGTCTGTGAGATAGCTCGATCACAGACATATTTCAGTGACATTTCACTCTTTTCTCAGCAACTCTTCATTGCTGTTTAATGTTTGTCCTGCCACAGAACCTTGCAGAGTGTAATTACACTGAAGGCAGCCCAGTAAGTGGCAGTCAGTGTCCTAGGGAAGCCAAGATTGGTGAGATGAGCATGCCAGAAGGGTGGAGCAGGGGCACACATGAATCACATCCTGGTGGGACCATGGAATCAACGAGTTTGGGCTGGCAGAGATAAGAGCAGGGCCTGGCTGTGGGTGTACAGCATGGGGCATGTCTGCATGTTAGTGCTAGGCTGGGCTTGTCTTTCTGATGGGCAGGCCAGCAAAGTCTTGCCTGTGGGCAGCATGGTGCAGTGACTTACAGAAAGCTGGCTGTGTTGTAGCTTGAAGGAGCGTCTTCTACAGCAAATTCTGTCTGAATTTCATCTGCGTGCACTGCTGTCCAGTTGCTCCAAGTGTAACTAAGTCATCTGCCCCACGTCCATCACCAGCTTGGGAACTGAACCTTGGTGAGCCACCAGTTTCCCCCTGACCTCCCTTTGCGTGTCACTTCTGAGGCAGAGGCAATTTCACATCATCATTTCAGGAGGTTAAGGAGAGTTAAAGCCTAGGGAAATGGTAGAAGCTCTGTTATGGGGAAGGAGGATTGTTTTAAAGTGTATTTAACAAACATTTGTCAAGAATTGTTGATGCCAGTTGGTCTGGCACTGGGCAGGAAGATGAACTAATTGACCTCTCAGATTTTTCCCCAGCCCCATTTCCTACTATTCTTTGGCTCTCTGCAGTGTCTTAGCAGTGAGTTCTCGCAATGCAGCTGCAGTTGGTGAAAATTCACCCTTTGAACTCACTTTCTTAGTCTGCAAGGGATTGACCACCAAGCCCTATACTGTAACATTGGGTTCCAGTGGAACCGTTTATAAGCAAGAAAAAACTCTAAAAGCTGCATTAGGAATTTTGTGTAGGTGAATTTTGCTGTCTGTAGCTGCTCATTCTATAGGCAGAATAAACACAGGTTTGCTCTGGTTCTTGCTGCCATGGTTCTGTGTGGATCTGTATTTAGTTTCATGCCTAGTAGGTATCTGCTCCTGTTATCCATATGTGCCACAATCTGGAAGCCAAATGGAGCAAAATCTACTTGCCAGATATGGGCAATAGATAAAGCCAAGCTAAATACTGGCCCCAATCCCTGTTCCAGGAGGGCACTTTCTGCCTGATACTTTTGGCTTCTCTCAAGCAGGCATGCAAATGTGTTAATGTTGTGATACTGGAGTGAGATGGAGTGACCTGCAGAACATTTTGTTCAGAGCAGCAGCTGAGGGATTGCAGTTCTGAACTCTTGTGAGCAGCTCATTAAAGGGATGGGTGAGAATTGGGACTATACTTACAGTTCAGAGCTGAATTCTGCTTGTGGATAAAATGAGGGGGAGCAGGTCTCCAACATTTTCATTTCTGTTTGGGGAAGTAGAGAAGCTTTTCTGCTTGATGCATCTATGGGACCCTTGTGAGCTTCAAGAGAATTAAGCAGAATACTGAGAGAATATCCTTTAGGTTCTGCTGCTTAAGGAAACAGGCTGTCTCAGGACATCTGTGTGGAATTTGGAGGCACATTCAGTACCATTTCTGCCTATGGTCTGCTGTGACCATAAGTGATTCGTAAGGATCTCCAAGTTCTACCATGGTCTAACCATTTACCCAGTGGACCTTCTGAAAGCGCTGAATGGTTGATATCTATCATAGATTCAATTTGAGTTGGAAGGGACCCCTAAAGGCCATTTAGTCCAACCTCCCTGCAATGTGCATGAGGTGCTCAGAGCCCTGTCTGGCCGGACCTGGGGTGTCTCCAGGATTGGGGCATCCACTGCCTCCCCAGACAACAGGTGCCAGTGCTGATGGGCAATTCCTTTCATTCACATCCCAGTCTGGCAATTTGTTTCCAGGCTGGTTTATTCGTTCCAGCCCAGACAAAGACTTGCTCTCTGTTAGCCCCCCAGTTGGCTAGTTGCTTGCTCAACAAATAAGGATCATCTTCTCTTCCTGAACTTTGCCCCATCTGGTTTGATTGAGGCCTCAAGTCTCATTCTACATCCAAAGCATTTTCAAGAGTTCCTCTTAGAGTCCTTTCCTGACAAATAACGTAATGGTTTTTACAGACAAAAGCTGCATAGCCTGATCATCCATCTCCCTGGATAAATGTTCTCAGAGCTTTGCTTTAAGGTCTTCTCTGACTTTTTGTAGAAATGTGTCAACCATGTTTGCATACCTTACACCAGAACAGCACTCCTGGCTCAGCCTGAAGTTTGTTGCTTAGATATCTTTTGGAAACTGGTCTTGTCTCTCCTCAGCAATGACCATTGCTGCCATTACATTGGAACTGGCAGCTTCTTCTTCTACTCTGGATCCAATTTCTGCCTATCTGACTCTTTTGTGCATGCTGTAGGGTTCCTGAACATTTGATTTGGGACCGAAAACTGCACTGGCAGGTTACATAAAACTAAGGTATTGCATTGCCACAGCCCCTTTCCAGATCTGGATTTTGCCATCTTGAGGATGAGTGCCTAAGCTCAGGAACCACTCCGGTCCACAGCTGCTGCAGCTTGGCTCTGTTGGTAGAAGGACAACCTTAAGCCTAATGTTCAGCATCAAAAACACGGGGCTTGTATATGGTCCTGTTCCTTAACTGCAATGTGGAGATGAAAGAGGATGTTCATTTCATACAGGAGAAATTTGATCTAAATCATGAGGTGTTCACACACAACACACACCGAAAATGAAGTTTGGCAGGCTCAGGTTGTGGTCCCTGGGTGGAGAAGGTAACTGTAGCAGTTTCCTGAGATGAAACCTTGTCTCCTTTGGACAGGGCCTTCCCTTGACCTGGTCATCCCCACAGCCCCAGTGCACACTGTCTGAGGTGTATTTACCTACAGGCTGACAGCCAAACCCCTGGTGACACCCTGGGATCAAAAAGGGAGACACAGACAGCTTTTGAGTGCCTTTCTCTTGGGCAGTTGATCCAAGGAGTGTTTGTGGTGTGAACTCTTATCACCCAGAGAGCTTTTTGAAGTGGGGGGCTATAGCTCCCAGTCAGGCCAGTGAGGCTTTACTGGGATCTGTGGCCGCCCGGTCCCTTTGGTAGGCAGAACTGCTGTGTACATTGGCACAGGCAAGAGTATCCCATGCTCTGCTGGCTGGAGATGGTGCCAGTGCCCTAGGCAACCTACAGAGGCTGAGGCTTGGTTTTTATGATCTTAGGCAGAGTGCCCCAGGAAGGAGGGCAAATAGTTGTGTTTTTCATCTCAGCCCAAGGCAGCAGAAGGCTGCAAAACCCCCTCTGAAGTGCAGCTGTGGTGGGTGCTGGACGCTTTGCAGTCCATCTGCAGGACATGGTACACCACACAGCAATGTCAGGGGGCCTTGTGACCTCTGGAGATGAGAGGGTGGTAGCCTGCCCCATACCAAGCAAACAGCAGGACTTTTGGCTGCCGTATAGACAGGGCACTGTCTGGCTCTCTACTCTGCTTACTTTGTCAAGAAATTGCCCCGCTGGGTGTCCATGTGGCTCTTGCAGTGAAGGCAATGCTCACCTTTTGTACTGGAGGAGCTGAGGCTCTGATTTGGGAATGACCTGATTTCACAGCCTGCAGCAGGAGGGAGGCTGCTGGGATCTCCCACAAGAGATGCAATGATTACAGCTCACTGCTTTCCTGGAGCACCATTGCACGGCTGTCTTCCAGGGAGGAAACCCAGGCTCTTCAAAGCCTGGAACACACGGGGCGGATCTGGCATGGGGTAGCTGCAGGCCTTGCCTCGAATTCCAGGTCAGAGCAGCCCCGGAAAAGCAGGCAGCAAGCCTAAGGATTCAGCTCAGCCCACTCCTCTGACCACTAGCTGAATTTGTGATGTGACCTTTAACCTTTCTCTTCGCAGATGTTTTTTATTGTGATTTTTTGCGTCCATTCCATAATAGATGAGAACTTGGAAGAACAAGCAGAGCTCAGCAAGCTGGGGGTGTGGGGGCCCTTGTTTTCCATCCGCTTTCTCAGGTTCCTCCCTCGCCCCCCGATTCCCAAGCTGCTCACCGTGAGGATCTGCCTTCCTTTGTTTAGCCAGTTGTGTGACACTGCTGTGCTCCGGTGTTTGTTCAATCCCTTCCAGCTCCTGATCCCACTGAAATCCCAGGAAGACTTGGACAAAGCGATGGAACAGTTGGAGCTGAGCCCTTCCCTGAAGAGCCTGCGGATCCTTGTGAGCGCTCCAAAGAAAGCGAATGTGAGCTGTTCACCTTCTCTGCTCTTTTGTGTTCAGACTTAGCTGCCTTGTTGTTGAGCTGGAGAGTGGAAATGAGTCTCCTGATGGTTCAGGAGGATCATGGGGTCTGCCCCGCTCTGGCTCAGCTGCTGTGAAATCCTCCCACAGCAGCAGCCTGAGGCAGTACTCAGCCCTTCCTGCTCCTCCTGCAATCTGTGATGGGTTAAATACTGTCCTGACCATCCTCAAACAAGGTTAACCCCTGGGTCACCCCCTGTGCTTTCCACATAAGGATGCTGCACCATCCCTCTGCATCCCCTCCTTGTATATGCTCACCATTGCCAAGCTGGGTGACAGCACAGGGACCATTTCCTTTGTGTGATGCTGAAGTACTAAAGACTAGGGAGGACAAGCTAGAGAATCCTTCAGTGTCGTGCAGGACTGTCTCTTTTTATTTATTTTTATTTATTTTAACTTTTTTTCTCTTGAGCTCAGTGGTTTTGCAGTTAAGCCTGTTAGCTTGACCTCGCCTGCACGGAGCTCCTTGCCAAAGCACATGTCGTTCTGCCCCAAGCACAGGCTGTAAAACAAGGGATTTGCAGATGTTGCAACTCTTTCTTCCTTATATTTCCTAGAAGTACCGGAGAGGCTGAGTGTCTTGAAACTCATAGTGCTTGTCCTCACGCTGCTGCTGCTGCTGCTTGCAGCTCCTGGGTCTTCTCTGCTCCTTCTGGGAGGTTCTCAGAAGGTGCAGGGACCAGAGTGTCAGGCAGAACTGAGCCATTGCTTGAGGTTTCCTATGTCCTGTTGTTCCTATCGGCTGCAGGAAAATTGGAGCATTACAAGACAGCTACTAAGAGCAGGGCAGTCCAGGTAGATTTGGTACAGTCCAGGTACAGCTTTGAGGTTGGTCCAGCTTCTCCTAAAGCATGTAAATATTCTTCTGCATGTAAAGAAATGCAGTTTCGAGGTCATAAATAAAACAATCACAAAATCGCAGTGCATATCACATTATGTTAGTAAGGCTCTGCCACTACCAATTCTTACCAGTGTAACTCAAGCTGTATTGAAGTTACCAGCTGGATACACAGTCCTTGGCTCTCCCTTTTTTCTGTACTCCTTAGAAAAGCCTCATTGTCCACTCTGCTCTGTTACAGAGTCACTTCTGCAGTGCTTAGACTGCCACTGAAATACAGGGAGCATGGAGGAGAGGCTTTCATTTGGGCTTGCAAACTTTGAGGATAAGGATCAGCCTCTGTATTGATCCTGAAACAATGCAGTACCAGAACAGTCTTTTATGTTGTATATCTGCATCATAATTAACTTGGACTCGATTTTATTGTTTTAGACTATTATGCTAACGGATGTAATTTGTTTGTGAATGATTTTTGGATCATTCCAAGTTAAATGCATGTCTGCTTTTTAATGGTTCTTGGACAGTGTGATCATGGGGATCCCAGTGCAGGATTTCACACGGTGTGTCCACGAGGGGCCTGACTTCTGGCAAGGTCTGATGGTTCCTTTTGTGTGATTCACAGCTCCTCCAGCCAAACAACAGCAAGCAGCATGAAATGAGAATCTCCAGATCCATGGGAGATATCATGGGATCCCTGTATAAGGACTCTGAGAGGACACGAAAGTATTCTACAGGTAAGTGAAACGCAGTGCTCTGTGGGGTGTATGTGCTGTTACAGGTGGAGCCACCATCCCCTTTCCTGTCACAGTCATGGACATATTATGGTCTGGTGTCCATCCTGATGTCACCCACCAGTATCTTAGTGCAGTCATAACTTGGCTTGAGGAGGAAACCATGAACTGCACAGGTTGTAGTGATTAGAATCATGTCACGCATGAAAGCTGAGAGGATCTAAGGTGTAATGTGAGGGGAAAACCTCTCATTTAATGGTAAAAACCTACAGTGAATTGATCTTCATCAAAGTGAAGAGTGAGGGTCTATAGAAAGACAAGGCTATTCCAAACCTTGGTGTCCTTATTCCCTTAACCATCTGCCATACATTTTCTCTGTATCCCTCTCCTTTTACTGCTTAGCACAATAATGTAGCACACTGGGCTTGGGTTTGCTACGTCCTGAGGACCGAATGTGTATCTCAGTGCCCGTGGTCTGTTCTGGGTGGTGAAGTTTGTGGTTGCTGCTTTTATGGTTTCTCAGGAGGGCGTGCAGTGTTTTGCACTGGCAGCATTTCAAATGAAGGGAAACATCCCTTTCCATTTGAGGCACTGGGAGCAGGTACTTGTTTGGAAAACCATATAGGATCTTACAGAGAACAATACTTCATGCAGCATTGGTAAAAGCAGCCTTTTGGGGCATTGTTCTCCACATTACAACCTACTGAAGCCAGATGTGGCTGCTACCTGACCCAGAGTTCTCTTTGGTCCTGTTGTTGGGATGTGCCAAGGATGTCTCTTTCTGTTGTACTGTTTTCTACCCTTCATGGCTCTTGAGAGTTTGCCCAGAATCTTCTGAATGAAATGCAGGCAAATTATATAGAAAAGCAGAGACACTCTGCAGAAACTGCTTGGGCAAAACATCTCTGGTGCTCTTTCTGTTTTGGCCCTTGTTTGGCTGTTAATGTTCAGCTGTCACTGATGTGTGAACCAGGCGTAATGGGCAGAATTGATTCTGCTTATTGCTGTGCTAGTGAGAAGATTGATTCTTAGGATCATAGAATCACTGAATCTATAGCCTGGGCTCACTGGTTTATACAGCAGCCTTTGGTCTTTTCTTACTGTTTACTTCTTACTGTATGTCTTGCTGTCAGTTTGAGCGGGGTTTGCACCGAGCCCTCTGCATGGTAGGAGCACACCAGACCTCTCTGGAGCTATGCAGGCTCTATGAGGCTACTGCAGCCCATTGCAGGAGCTGTTTGCAGTCCTGCAGATTCCATTTTTGACCACTTGAATCAGAGATGGGTTATCCAGTAGTTGGGCAGAAACTCCAGTGAGCTGAAAGGGGGGAGGGTGGCTGTCCAGGTGGAGCATAAAGCTGAAGATCTGGCTTTAGACAGGCAGAGATGAGCCTACATTGTGAGCATGGACAGGGGATTTCACTGAGCTTTGTGGGTAGTGAAAAGGCATCCTAAAAGACCGAGGCTCCTGTAGGATAAACTTCTTCTCTTGCAGTTGCAAGCTATGTCCTTGCGTTTGCTTCTGCTGTCATCAGTGCAGCTGCTATCAAGAGAAGGTCTTAACTCATCTCAGCTTCTCTCTTAAGACAGCATTTAAAAAGAGATTTAAAGTGATGTTGTAGAAAAAGGTGGTTCAGGGTCACGTTCTCCTGTTTCTGAGATGGCTCGTGGTTTTCTGCTGACTCTGCCATGATAGCAGCAGTGAAAACTCATAAAACTGCATGTCGTTGGCACAAGCACTTGAGAAAGGGGTAGATGTTCTGTGGAAGATATTTGGCTATTTTTGCTTCAGCTGGACAGAAAATATCTTCGTTCCCTGTCCCTAAAAAACCTTATGCAAAGTCAATATTATTTTTTTCATAAACATTTTCAGTGAAACGCCCCCAACGCACACAGTTTTTTTTTATTGGAAGAGGAAAATGTTCCAGTCTCATGGTGACCAGCATCTGAAAATGTTCAGCTGAGTGCCAGAAAACTTGGTTTAAAATCTACTGGGGTTCTGAATTTTTGGATATCTGAGGGCAGCTTTCACAACGTTATCCACCAGTTATTCATGAGCTCTATTCTGGAATCAACACTTGATTGGAAACATTTGCCAAAGGCTTGATTCTTTATTCCCATGCTGGCAAACCACGACCTCTGGGAAGAGGTGATGTAGAGCAAGGCATCCTTTTTCTCTTCATTTTGGGGCATTTGACGGCAGGGAACATGGAATCATAGAATGGCTTGGGTCTTGCTCAGCAAGGAATGCAGTGCAGAAAACAGCACAAGGGCATCGTAGGGGAAGTAGGCTTTGGTGGTGTACGGGCTGGATGGGTGACTGAAAAACATGAGCATGGTGGCAGTACCTGTGCAATTAAAATCATGGGGCCAGGGCACGAGCACTGGCTGGCAACTGATGTCCTTGACCAGCCCTGAACTGCCCTCCCAGCTGTGCCCAGGTACCAGCTGGGTTAGCATGGGTGGAAATCATGGTGGTTGAACCTCCTCCCTGTTTTGAGAGGAGGAGGACACTGCGCCTGTGGGCAGCATGTCAGTTACCTGACGTGAGTTAGAAAAACGTTCCCTGTAATTTGTTACATGTACCCTAAAGTTTGCCTTAAGCTGAGATGTAGGAATTCATCCTCAAAGGGTCAGCATGGAGAGGAGGAAGACTTGGAAGCATCCCTCTAAAAAGAAGTGGAGGGAGATTTGATCGATGTGCTCACACCTCCCCATGCCAGCCACAGCTTGTTGGTGAGGAATTTCCTGCAGGTTTCTATCTGCTTATTGTGCCACTGTGTCCTGAGCCCTATGTTCCCACCACGGCTTGGAAGAACAACACATCTTGGTGTCACGTCCTTCATTTGGCTCTGTGGCAACATCATTCAGGGCTGGGCTCTCTGTGACTGCAGCTGTGAGCACAGGCAGCTGTCAACAAGCCCTGCTTGGCCCTTGCTTTTATGGGGCTTCTCTTCTCCATCAGGACTACTGCTTGATGCTGGTCAGTGATGGATGAAGTTCTGGGAAGGATCTGCCAGGGCAGGGAAGGGGTGAGGCCAGAGAACAAGGTGGCTGAAGGAAGCCAAGCCTGGCACAGGGGAGCTGCTTGTACGTGCAGCACCAAGAACTCTGCACATACAGCATGAAAGGCACTTCTTAAATAAAAATAACAGAAAGGAACATGAAAAAAAAAAAAAAAACAGTAGATGCCAGCAGTGACTGTAAGGCTCCATGCTGGCCTGGTTCACCCTGCCTGGGACATGCTGTGCTCTAACCTCAAATATAGGGCTTTACATTAGTGTGTGAAACATGGAGCAGGAATCCCACTGCAGAGCACCTTGCTACAAAGGGTAACTGAGGTCAGATGCTCAGCTGCTGCCAAGCTGCAGAGTTTCTCTGAGTTCAGGAATTCTGAATAGAGCTGCTAAGATCTGGCCAGCATCTGGCTTACAAGTAATGCCTCAGAGCTTACCCCTTCCCTGCTGGCTCTGGAGCTGCCATGTAATCCTATAGGCTCCAGGAGGACAGTCTAGGAGGTCTTTTCTCTCTGCCTGATGCCGCTGATGTTTTGTGAGCATCAGTTCAAGGCAAAGACCATTTGTGATGTGTTGGGCTCATCTGAGCTTGGCTGACTATTCCTTTCTCTGTCTCTAGGTGGATAAAGCAGCAATATCTAATGCATCCAGTATGCATTGTGTTGAATTACTATGAATTAAGCCTGCACATTAAAGATCAGAGTTGCCTTCTCTCCCCAGCCACTGCTTTCTGTTTCTGACCCCACTGGCACTGCTGAGAATGCCTGAGGTGTCATTAGTGGGGTCAGACAGGGCTGCCATGTGCTTTGAAAGGGGAAATCAGCTCTTGGCTCTGAGGCTGAGCTCCCATTCCTCTGTGCATGCACAGAGATGTGCAGCAGCAGCACCCAGTGCTCAGCAACCAGTGCTCCTGGAGGTGTGAAACTGCAGAAAATACTTCGAGCAGCTTTTCCTCCTGAACTGCTTGGCTGAAAGGGATCTGCTTCAATCCAGCAGTTCCCAGGCATGCAAACGCCTGAGCATTTTGCCTCACTTCCTTGCCTGCTGAGAAGTGGTTACTGTCCTGTCCCCTCTGCAGTTTTAGCAGGAAATGTGACACTGGAAGGTCAAACATAACTGACCTGATGACTGGGAGCAGTTACTCCAAGCAAAAGCTTAATGTGAGATCATGCCAAGTCTTTACACTTGTGATAAATGTCACTCAGCTCTCCGGGTCCAAAGTCACACAGAGTGTGTTCAGCTCCCTGTTGACCCTGACTTGAAGACCTGGGCTGTGGGTGGGTTGTGGCAGGGAGGGATGCACGAGCAGACCCAACCTTGGGAGCAGCAGGAGTAGAGTTGCTCAGCAGAGCTAAGGCACAGCAGTAACACCATGTCAGACCAGAGAGAGGCTTTTTGGAGCAGGAGCCCCCCGATGTCTTTATGCAGCACAAATGAGATGATAACACAGTGATTTCTCCAGTGTACCCAAACTCTTAATGGTTAAGCATTTGTTTATTTATCTTCAAGGGGAGGATGCCATGCTTCCCAACTGGTTTTGTTTTTTTGGGCTGGTGGAAAGCCAGCTCATTATGTGCATTGCAGCACTCAGGAGATTCTCCCTCCTTGATCTTGGCCTTACTTCAGTTGGACTTTGATTTGCTGTGCTCTTATCCTGCAGGAAATCTGCAAAGGAGAAAATAGGAAGGAGAAAAAAAGCATCTCAAAGGCCTTTATTTTTAAAACTTGAGCGAGGAGCCTGGAGGGAGATGTACTGTAGGACAGATATCTCTGTGTTTGGTGTAAATCCAGCAAGCCTGATTGAATGGTCTTTTATACTGGAGTGATGCTGTTGATGTTAGCAGCTCCTGATGTGCATTGGCTTAAGTGAGAGGTCTGTGGTGTCGATCACGGTGATGGATTTATGCCAGAGATCAATCTGGCACAGTAACTGTGCTGCAGAAGAGCAGCAGCAGAGGTGGAAGTGTTGCATTGACTTCTCATTACAGAATAGACCCCTTTCCCATACCTTTCCCTTGCAGTATGGAGCTCAGCGTGGACACCTCATTACCAAATGGTAGTGATGAACCAAAAAGTTTGCAGGAGTGCTGCAGAGGGGGGTAAGAACTGTGGGGTAGGACACGTGCTTTTTAGAAGCCTGTTGAAAAACTAATTTTTGTGTGAAAGGTCCTATTGCACAGTGCAGACCAGTTAAAGCTCCAGCACAGAGCAGTGCAGATCTCCGTCAGCAATTCCTCACACTGAAGTGATTGCAGATTGAGAGGGGACTGCAGAAAGACAAGCAAAGCCAAGCCTGTGCATCTGGGTTAAGCAAGGGCAGCGCTTCCTATGTCCTGCAAAGGGTGAAGGAATTGGTTTGGGTGGATTTGGAGCCTCCAGGGCTACAGGCAGGGGAGGTAACCTGTGTGGCAGGAGGGCCAACCTCATGAGTCTTTCCTCTCCCTTTGGCTCTTTGAGTGCTGTTTTTCCTTACTCTTAGGGAGAGAAGTTGGATATTTGGGTGCAAATTGTTTTCCATCTATATGAAACGTTTGAGTGACGTTATACAGAGTTCACTCAAGATGAGCAGCCAGGCTTGTTTCCCACTTTGCTGAACGAGACAGCATTTCCAGGGAGGAAACGTCATGAGGTCAAAGATGAGAGGTGGGATTGGGGTTTGGCTTGACTGCACAACAACAAAGCTCTAGGAGCTTTTTTACTTTCTGGTATTGACAAAATATCCAGACACAGGGCACAGCTCTTAGGAGCCAGGGTAGGCTGAAAGCTGAAGTCTGCTGGGTGTTGTGTGGCTTTGCAGAAAGCAACTGTCCCGGATACAAAAGCTTTGTAGGTGCTCATGAACAGTATTGGCTCTCTAGTTCTTCCATTCTCTTCCAAAAAGTTCAAACTCAGCAGCGTCTCTGGAAGATCATAGAATAACACAGTTGTTTGAGTTCAAAGAGACTTTCAGCTCCTCTGCTGTGAACGGTGACATCTACAGCTCAGTCAGGTCTGTGACCACGGTCTCTGGCAGGACTTCAATGCAGTGAGTCCTTGTCTTGTTGATCAATGACTTCCCCATCTCCTAGGCTCTCTGCACACTGGCCGGAGCTCTCCACCCCCAGGGAGTGTTCCTGAGGAGCAGCAGCAGATCGCTCGCCAGGGCTCCTACACCAGCATCAACAGCGAGGGCGAGTTCATCCCCGAGACCATGGATCAAAATGTAAGTGGGGCTCATGGGTTAAATGCATGTGGGTTGAAGTGGGCACACTGCATTCTGCATCACGAGCGTCGTTCTTGCTTCTAAATTGCCTGTGGCCCTCAGGACAGATTTTTCCTCTGGGCTTAACATGCTCCAGAAACGTGATTTCTAGGAACCCTGCAAGCTAGCTGTGGCGATGACTGCAGCACGCTCTGACGCTGCAGGTAGCACACATGCACACCAGCTGCCAGGCCCTCATGGCCACGGCCTTCCCGGATCCTGGGATGACAAGGGAGTGTGCCAAGCAAATGATTGCCCGCGATTGCAACAGCCTGGGGATGTCAGCAGCTCTCGCTGCTTCCCATGTGCTGTTTCTGCCTGAGCTCTGGCTACAGTCCTTGGCTCTGTCTGAAGTGTCTCTGTGTACTTTTTTTGTCTCTCTCCTCCCCCCGTTTGTTGTTCTTTTTTTTCTTTTCCCTTATTAAGCAGTTTGTATGTCTCAATCCCTCAGTAATAAAAGAGTTGCTAGATTTAATGCAGAGGGACGAGCAGAACCTCTGTCTCAAATCAGTTCCCTCCATAAAGGGGTGAACTTAGAGTGGTCACTGACCAGGCATGTACCTCCCTCTCCGTTTGCATCTCTGCTCAAACTGTAGCTCCAAAGAACTTAGGATGAGTGGCATCCTGCACTCTGTGGGCTATCTGGTTGCAAGGTTCAGTTTTGCAGTGCTCTTGGAAAGAGAGCATCAACTCGCAAGAGGGATCTGGAGGGACTTCAGGAAGGCACTGAGCAGGGTTGCTCACTTCAGTGGGCTGCTGTACATCTCCCAAGTTCTTCCCTGGGGGAATGCGTGCCTCCTGCATTCAAGGAGCACTCACTGGCTCTGTTCTTGAGTGTGGGTGGTGCCAGTGTTTCCATGGCAAAGCTGTGTTTTCGACAGTTTATTCTACAGCCATTAATAAAATGAGAAGTCACTCCGGGTGAGCCTTGGCAGCGTCGGAGTGCAGATGTATCTCGTGCTGCTTGCAGCCAAAAGCTGGCTTTCTATTGTTTCCACATGACTTCCAAACACATTTAGGAGGATTAAGACAAAGTGTGTATGTGCAGGAGGAGGGCCTGCTCGAACCCCCTGGGGTGTAAGTCAGCACAGTTGCGTTGATTGTTAATGGTGCTCCATCAGCTCTGCTCCTGATGAAGGTTCCCAGATGCTCCCCCAGCATCGCGCCATGGGTGGCCCACTGTCTTTTCCGAGAGGTGGATGGATGTGTGCACTGACAAATTAAAGGCAGGAAAAAGGACTTGTTTCTTTCCTTCATTTCTCTCCTCATTGAACAGCCGTAGTTTTTCCTATGGATTGCCCTCAGAATGTTCTCGGAGTGCAGCTTTGAAACATACCTGCTGTAAAACCACTTGCAAGGAGATGCTTCCTGCCTTTTGGGGGTGCCTCTCTGCAGGTGATGTAACTGAGGTCTACATGGAATCACAGAGTCATTAAGGTTGGAAATGACCTCAAAGATCACCTAATCCAACCGTTGACACACCACACCATGCCCACTGACCACGTCCCTCAGTGCCACATCTCCACAGTTCTGGAACACCTGCAGGGACAGTGACTCCACTACCTCCAAAGGCAGCCTGTGCTCAGATTTCTAGTTCTGTTGCCAGGCTTTTAAAGAATGCTGAGTCTGCGTCATCACTCAGCATCTCTGCTGGGAGAGAGCTGGTGTGGTTGGCAGAGATGGGATGGGGGCTAAGCAGGGACCTTGCTCCTCTTTGGCTGCTGCGCTTCGAAGTATGAGGCTTTGGAGTAAGATCTTGGGAAGCAGAGGAAAATCACACTTTCCAATTGGGACTGCCAAAACAATAAGAGCTGTTATGACAACCACTCAAGGAGGTGTAGCACAGAAACAGCACATGGAAATGGAGAGGCTGTCCTGTACATGGGGAAGGAGGAGTGGCTGGATTCGGGAGCCAGGAAGGGATAACTCCACGTGGTGCTCAGCCATCCTCTGCTCTGCTTTCCCGGCAGCAAGCTGGACCCTAGGCTGGCTCTGCGTGGAAGTGCTCGTAGCCCTTAGGTTTACCACTCAACACAAAGCCTCTATTGTTATTAGCCAGCTATAAATAATCCCGTCCAGTACAATGTCTCATCCAGGAAGCAACACAAATGTAGCTTTTGACTCACTGAGCTAGTGAGAGCCAAGCCGGTTCCTCCAGCCAACAGCCCTGATGATGCTTTGCTTATCACTGGAGGTGGAGGCTGGTGTCGTGTGCCAGGGGGAGGCAGGAGTCCATGGCCACGGTCTTGGCTGTGTGCAAAACATCCACTTGGCCTTGGGCACACTGTTTGTGTCCTGATTTCATTTTTTTCCTTATGAATACTTTGAGCACTTTGGCTCTCATTGATTTCTCAACATGCTTAGAACATCAGGGTGCCTATTAGCTCTACCTCAGCTTCCCTGCTAGCAAGTAGAACAAGGAGAAATGGTTTGAAACTAGAGGAGGGGAGATTTAGCCTGATAAAAGGAAAAGGTTTTTATTATAAGGGCGGTGAGGCACTGGCACAAGTTGCCCAGAGACATGGTGGTGCCCCATCCCTGGAGACACTCAAGGTCAGGCTGGATGGGGCTCTGAGCACCTGATGGAGCTACAGGTGTCCCTGTTCATTGCAGGGGACTTGGAGGGTCTTTGGGGCCTTTCAGGGTCCCTTCCAACTCAAGCGATTCTATCATTCTGTCAAATGCAATTGATGATAATAATAATCCAAGGGAAACATCATAGATGAACTTCTTGTGCAAAGAAAGCTTGTTAGTCTGCATGTCTTGTCTTGTGGGACCAGGATCAGATGGTGAAAATCAGCTGGCTTCAGTGGAGAAACAGCAGATGTTTATTAGTAGTGGAACTTGAAGAGTTGAATTCTCATCTGTTATTTTACTGGTTTTCCCTTTCCTTTCTCATCAGATGCTTGAAGCTTTCATCAGCCCCGATGGGTCGATGTCTGGGAGCTGCCAGTCTCTGGACAGGTCTGTGGACAGGTGAGTTGCATACCACCATGCTCACAGGTGCTTCATTATGATTTAAACTGCAGTAATCTTAGCTGGACAGAGTAGCTGGGGATTTGCAGGCAGCCTGCCTCTTTGTGCCTCAGCCAGACCCCTCTTTCACCCCTCTGTCTTTCTGCAGTCACTGGGTCAGTACTGCCTTATCCTCTCTCTGCCCATCTCTGGGCATGCTGTCTGCTCTCCATTGACTGCTCATACATTTGGCAGCCCCTGGGTGCTGCCAGCAGCCACAGATATGTCAGTCAAGGCGCTGAGGTCTCCAGACGAGCAGTGGCTAAGTTTAGCTTCTCTGCAGGAAGCAACTGGGACACATTGTACTGAGGCAGGCGGCAGTTCAATACTTAGCGCGGCTGGTCCAAGCTCACACGTGCACAGCGACTCTACATTTGCTGCTGTGCATGGCAGGCTGTGTATAAGACACAGTGTCCTTTCGGGAAGCAATACATTCATTTTTTTTAATCCACATCAAAGGTTTTCTTTTTTTTTTATTTTATTTTCCTCCTTTTTTTTTTTTTTCCATTGCTTTTGCCATGCAGCACCAAGGCTGTGTTCCAGCAGGTCTGCGTTGTGTTGATTTGATTGTGTGGCGTGCTTTGGGTTTATGACTCTGTGCACTTTGGATGTGTCTCAGCATTAAGGTCCATTTCCTTTTTGTGGCTTTTAATATTTTCCTCTGATGTATTTGCTCATTGTTACAGATGCATCAAATCTGATTTCTTTGTGTTCTCAGCCTCTATGCCCCAGCTTTGCTTTTTGCATAGACTTTGTTGCAGAGCAACAGAAGCACAGCTTGGTTGTAATGCTTTTTTTGTGAACTGAGAGGAGAGCATTAGGCATGTTGGCAAGAGGGTCATGTGTGCATAGCTGTGTTCAGTCATTGGGTCTAGAGAGCTGGAAAGGGCATGAAGAGGGCTGTATTCTTCAAAGGTAGGAAAAGGAGTAAGCGTGAATATTTAGCACACGTTGCCTTGTTTGGAATCAGGAGGTAAGCTTGATGATCCCTTTGGGTTCCTTCCAGCTCAGGATGTGCTGTGATTCTGTGATTCTGGAAAAAGCATAGCTGAGTCCTTGCTGCTAATTGTGTGAGATGGCATTAGCCTCCAGAGGGCAGAGCTAGTCACCAGGCACAGAGACCAGTCTGACACTAAGAGGGAACACAGTTAATGCCTCCTTCTTGCAGCAAAGCTGCTGCGATCAGATTTGGCACAGATAGATTTCAGTTTCTATTACTATGTCCATTTACTAAGAGGAAAGAAGGCAGAGTGGAAAAGCTGCCTGTCCAGGTCAATTCCCTGACCCCACAGAATCTGGAATGAAGTCAGGATGATCATATCATAGAGTCATAGAATGGCTTGGGTTGGAAGGGACCTCAAAGATAATCATTCCAACCATGGGCAGGGTTGCCAACCACTAAATCAAGCAGTAGATCAGGTTGCCCAGTGCCTTCTCCATTCCATCCTTATGCAGTGTTTTCCCAATATCATTTGCTTAACGTATTTGAAGAACTTATCTGGGATCAGTGAGCCTGCTCCCTCCCTCCTGGTGTGCTCAGAGAATGTGTGTGCACAGTGGTGGTGCAGACTTGCTTGCATGAGGAATTTGGGAGATGATGGTACAGAAAAGAGGAGACATGCATGAATCAAACACTGTGGATAACCACTCATCCACAGCAAATAAGCAGTGTTCACACAAATGAGTACTTCACATCGAGGCAAGAGGAACGTGCAGCTTTCCTTCTGTGCCATCTGGTGTGTAGGTGTTAGAAAAAGCCTTCAGTCTTGTGAAGACTGAGGATGAGAACTCAGTTTGGTGGGCAGGGCTGACCAGTCATCAGTGCACCTTACTGTGTAGTCTGGGCTTTCTGCATGTAATCACTCCTTAACTAATTTCACAGCCTTTCTGATACAATAGAACATATGTATTTTTTTCCCCATGCAGCCCTCCCTTTACACAAACCCCTGTTCCTGGAAGGAAGAGTCATCCCAAAGACGGTCTTGATTGCATGGGTGAGTATGGTTGGAGGTTTGGGTTTGTTGGAAGCCAGTAGTTAAGAAAGAGAGATGCTACTGCACAAAAAGTAACTAAAAACAATCAAGCAAATCATTTCTGCTGCTTAGGTTACACTTCAGAAATGACCCAGCAGTGATTAAACATGAACGTTTTGTCAAAGCTGAAGACCCAGAGCATCAGACACAGACAGGGTTCTCCTTGCCATCGTTAACTCTTGTTGGCTCTGCAGTAGTGGTAGCACTGAAGGACCTTCAGGTCTCGTTCGTAATCAATTTACAGCAACAGCTGTTTGAACTGTGTACTCAAGCCCCTGAAATCAGTAGATGTAAGGAAATAAAGCTGTTGCAAGACCAAAGATGAGCTCTCTGTTGGAGGAACGTGCTGGGTGGGTCTTGCTCTTGGTTTTGGAGACAGCTGTGAGGTGCTGAGGAGCTGGAAATAGCCATGTGGCATCACGTTTTGTTTCTGAAATCAGGATACTTAATACACAGCAAACCAGAGCCCAGACCCTCTTGGGAGTCATACCTCTTCCACTTGGATTCATAAGAGGCAGAATCTGTAACACTACATTGGGTAACTTGCAAGGATCATGGATTACTGCTTAATCCCCAGCAAACATCCACCTGGTTAAGTCATGGAAACTGTGACACTGTCATGGCTTTCAGCATTTTGAACGAACAGATGGCAGCCAGCCTCAGCACGGTCACACACTGCTGGCCAGGGGCAGCATTTTGAGGCTGAGCTGTAGAGATGAAGCAGTCTGTCTGCATCGCCGAAGTTTAATACACCCCAGTGGTGTGGGAGGCACTGTGCTTTGAGATGTCACTCGGCGTTGTTGCTCACACGTGGCTCGCTGAGAACCTCTTGACCCGTCCTTGCTGCTCTTCTTGCTGACCATATTTCAGCCATTATGTGCTGCTGTCATGGGGAAATAATGCTGCAGGAGGCTGAGGCCAGGCCTGCTCTCCCAGGAGCGGCTGCTGGCCCCAGGCTAAGACAAACAAACCATCAGCAGGGTTGTGTCATTCCAGTCGGATGGAGGAAAAACAGGAGGTGAAAGATGGGGGAAATGACAGATATTTTCATCTCAAGTTATTCAGTGCTACCAGCAGTGGCTTCCCGTGATGCTTTTATTTAATTAAAATTTAAAAATACATTCTTATCTTGTGTGTCTATCCACCTCTTATGGTCTCGTGTCTAATCTGTACTGCAATGCTGTTTTACTTTCTATATGTACTAAAGCCCCAGTAAGGATGAAAGCTTGGAGGGTACAAATTGATCTCCATCTTTGAGTCACATCTGGGAAGAAATACCAGGCAGAGATACCTGCCTGAATGCTAGATACCTGCATTTCTCTATAAGCAGCTGATACAGAGCAGAGATTTTGGTGTTGGGTCTGACCCTGTCTGGAAGTTCTGTTTCCATGCTCATTTTTATGTTTTCCATGTGCAAAATAAGACGTTTAACACTCGGTCTTGGAAACCAGACATGTTCTGTGTTAATCCCCTGCCTTGTATTTGAACAGTGTGGGCCAGAGTCCATAAAGTCAGTGGTTAACCTCGGTTCCTTTATGGGGACCAGGAGTGGGGTGTCTGGCCCTTATTTTCCACTCACACTATGTGACTGTGGTCAGATCTCAGCGAGCCATGGGGAACTCCTGGCTCTGCAAATAAACGTTTTGTTACCTTGTGTATCCCCACAATTCAGCATGAAGGTCCAAACACTTTCCTTTAAGAAACACTCTGGGCATTTGGTGTGAGCTGATCTAAGAAACATCTGTTCTTTCCTCCTGCCAGATTTTGACATCCCAATCTGTGAGAGGTTTGGGAAGGGGGGGACCTTCCCGAGGCAGTACCACCTCTCCCAAAGTCGCAAGGACTACAGCGATGGTAAGAAAATGATGGAGGGCTGGAGAGAGAGGTGCTCAGTCCAGGATCTCAGTAGGGATGGGAAGTGCAGGATGCTTGTACCAGTGCCTGGGGGTGGAGAGATTTAGGAGGGAGAAGGAGAACAGAGTAATTTAGGATTTGTTTGTGTATTCTAAAAGGTGAAGAGCTTGTGGTATGTTCTTACGAAGCACTGAGTGTCTACAGTGTCAGTGCTCAGCATCTCTTGTGCTTATGCCACATGGGTGAACAGCTTTTCTTGTTGCTGGCAATACCAACCTTTCTGTTCCCCTAAATTGATCGCTTTTGAGGATGCTGCTTTGTTACTTTCGATAGGGTTTCTCCTGGCAAATGCAGGGTAGCAGTGTCTGCTCGTGGCCGTTTGAAGCTGATGAGCTCTGAGCTTTGGGATCCACTCCATCACCTCTCTGCTGCCCCTCCTTTCATTGTGTGAGACTGCAAGTGGTGGGAAACAAAACTGAATACAGATCAAATTCCCATGGAAAAAAAAAAAACAAAACACCAAAACCCACCAAAATCCATTAAAAACCATTAAAGCTATCCTTGTGCAAGCAGTTACCGCAAGATCCACTTGTGTGGCCATTTGTCTTGTGGTCTTAGGGGATGTCTGGGATAATGTGAAGCGTAAATCTCTGCCTAATCAGAGTTTAATTGTGATGAAGAACTAACAAAACCTTACGTATTTAAACTGTTGCAAACCTCTCTGGAAACATTCTGTGTTATATGCAATCCTGGCTGCTGCTACCAGCTCTTAAATTGAATTAGTGTTCACAGGGCTTCGCTTCAGTTTCATTAAACTGGTCTTGTTTAGTTTCAAGAGGTGCATCGTATGAGCAGCAATGTGAGGAGATGGCAGTAGACAGATCCATGCTGGTGTGAAGATTTTTGCCATAACTCTCCCCCTTTTCTCCTGCAGGCCGGAGGACTTTCCCCAGGAGTTACTTCCCACAGGAAAACCTTTTCCAGCTTGTCCCTTCCAGCCGGACCAAGAGCTTTACTGGGGACAGCAAGCTCAGCACTTTGCAGTACGATGAGTACAGGCCTAAATGGTGGAACAATTGTGAAAAGGGTCTGCAGGTCTTTAGCACCTCCCCTACCAAAGCTCGGAACTGTAAGTGAACCAAAGCTTTTACTGTCTCAATACATTTCAGTCTCAACACAAATTGTGACCTACTGAGTTACTGGGCATCAGCTGAGCTAACGCTGTGTGAGGTTAACCAGGCTGGATGTGGCTCTGGCAGCCTGGTGTGCTGGCTGGCAGCCCTGCACATAGTAGGGGGTTGAAAGTGGATGAGCATTGTGTCTTTTTCAACCCAGGCCATTCCATGATTCTATGATTCTATGAATGCACTCTTACGCCATCCTCAGCAAGAGGCGCGTTGCACTGCCTTGCTTTTCAGTGGGGAAGATGAAGTCTTCATCACTGTACCTTACCTTTGACAGGAGTAGAGTGCCTGCAGGATCAGCTGGTTTTCATAGCTGGCCAAGTTGCAGAAAATTGCTTGTGCATTTCACTCTGACTGTGTTCGTACAGCAGAATCATCCGGGAGATTTGGGATATGGGAACAAATGGCTCTGGAGGCCACCCCTTCCTTGTCTTCCTTTGCTCGCAGCACCCAAAAATGTTGCAGGCACTGCTGGTGTTGCAGGATCAATGTGATTAAAACTGATTGGTCTCAGTGCCCCTGGGAATGGATGGCTTGCTGTCCTCCAGGACAAGTTGATGGTACAGCTGCCCTGTTGAGAACATTGCAGACCTGATAAATGGACCCTGATGCTGAAGTCTCCCTGCTGTGCTCTTTTCTCATTCTTCTCCTCTCTGCTCTAGCCCTGCAGGCACCTGTGAACTGGAGGCTGGGGAAACTGCTTGGAAGAGGAGCTTTTGGGGAAGTTTATCTCTGCTATGATGCTGACACTGGTCGTGAGCTGTCAGTGAAGCAAGTGCCATTTGATCCTGACAGTCAGGAGACAAGTAAGGTGAGTATGAGGGCAGCACTGTGTTCTGTAGCACGTTGCAGGATTGTGGCTGGAGGATGGAGGTAGCAGAGGAGTCTGTGATACTGACAGAAGGCAGTGTGTGCACACTGTGTCGGGTTTGCTGTCTTTGGAGTGATCCCTGATAGCATGTGGCGCCAGTCACTTTGTCTGCCTCCCTGTTCTTGGTCATGTTGGCTTGCTATCCCAGATGCCATCTATCAGAGATCTGCCTGCTTTGTTTCAGCCTTTTTGCTCCACTCACCTTCTTCCCACCTGGGGTGCTGTGTTAGCTTTGTTGCTGGCTTTGTTCACACCTTCCCACAAAAAACTCCTTGAGAGCAGTTAAATGAATTCACCTCTCTCAGAGCCATGTGCTTGTGTCTCCCATCCATCTCTCTGCCGGTTCCTCAGAGCAACACTCATTTCTGAGCCTTAAATGGCTGTTGCCTGATTAGGAAGCTTCGTATGTGCCATGAAAAGTGTTGAGTTCTGAGCAACGTTTGGGTAATGCTCCTGTTGCAGACAGGTGTGTGTACCCGTTCCCCTTCCCCATGGAGCCTGTCTGTTTTGTTGCAGGAGGTGAATGCCTTGGAGTGTGAGATTCAGCTGCTGAAGACGCTCCGTCATGACAGGATAGTGCAGTACTACGGGTGTCTGCGGGATCCAGAGGAGAGGAAGCTGTCGATCTTTGTTGAATACATGCCAGGGGTGAGTGCAGTGCTAAAGATTGTCCTGAGCTACGGAGAACAGATCTGGACTGCCTTGAGTTGGGTGACATTTGGATCTGGAGTTAAATTTGACGGCTGAGATGCGCTACTATAGCTGATAAAGCAAACAGCAAACCAAAACAGTGCATCTCAGCATCCCTAGGACTTGACAAAGTGTAGATCGAGTCAGACATCGTGGTCAAGACCCTCAACTTGTGATGGGTCAAATCTAAAGCCCCGAAGGCAGATCTTAGGTTTGAGTCCTGGAGCTGGGTGTGTTCACAGTCTGGAATCTGATCTTGGTGAATGTGGGATGTGCTCCAGATCTGGTTCCAAACACTGGCCTGAGCCCATCCTTAAGCATTTATTACAAATCCCTGCAGGACAAGTTATTAGTACACTGTCCACCCACAGCTGTCACCAATTATTTATGGCTTTCAGCACGTGTGTGTTATAAACAGTGTTATTTGCTTGCAAGTCTTCTCCTGTTCAGAACAGAACCTTGTGTTGGTAGCATTATCCAGCTGAGCAGGAGTGGATTACATTTGTGTTTTTGCTGACATTGGATTAAACAGCCATAGGGAAATGGAAGATCAGGAATCTTTGAGGGAATCTGAGCATGGGCTCTAGAGTGCATGCAGATGAGTTGAACATCTCTGTTTGCAAGCATGCAAGTTACATCAGCCATGCAGACAAAGCCATTGGCTGGTATAAACCAGTGTTACTGTTTACACTGCTGGAGGATCTGCTCTCCGCAGTCCTGCCTGTCCAGCTGGATTCATTCTCCAGACTGTGGGAGAATAAACCCTTGTTTATACAGGCCTTGTTTGTAAGGTCAGAAGGAACTATGAAGTCATCTGGTCACAAAGGATTTTGGTAGTTTCTAAATGTGCTAGAAGCCCTCCTAGCACATCTTGAACACGAGCGATCGCGTGGATGTCCATGTGTTTGAGCACCTTCCAAGAGCCGTCCTCTGTCTCTCCCTAGGGGCTGGCGTCTCACTATCAGGCCTTAAAATGAGGCTTGGACCCAGAAGAGTAAAGCTCCAGAGCTTCAGCAGTACCCTTGCTGCTTATTCTGCAACATGCTGGTGTTTGTTAGCAGTCAGGAAACCAACACTGGATGCTGGGGCAGTGTCCAGCAAGGCTGGAAGTTGAATGTTTGTTTTTTTTGTGATAAACCAGAGCTCTGACCAAATACAGATTGACTTTAGTGCCACAGTGACGACTTATTTCACAAAAGCAGCTCAGGGCTTTGCTTTCCAATGGCAGTGGAAATAGATTGAGTTCCCAAACCTTGCAGGTCAGCAGCTCTGTTTCTGGCTGGGTTTCTGATGATACACAGCTACCTTGGTAAAATCTTTAGGAAGTGAAACTTTAGTGCACTGTTAACCTGGCATTCTTACAGTCACTGCTGTTAGGTAGCTGACTGTATTTTGTGTTGTGCTCTGTAGAATGCAGGAAGGGGTAATTTCACAGCATCACTTCAGCAGTGCTATGAAAGGGAAATCAGAGGCACAGGATTGCAGCCAGCCTCCACAGAAAGCCAGAATAGTAGCTGGGCAGAGCAACAGCAGAGATGGGTGAATGTTGAAGAGCCGAGACAGTCTAAGTGACTTGGAGCACAGCATCCTGCTGTTCTCACAAGAGGAAGACTTTGGCAGCCTTGGATCAACTGTGCTGCAGGACAGGTAGAAGTGAGGATGAGTTTCCCTTTACACTTTCTGCTCAGCCTGAATGCTGGAGGTGGATTTAGGTGTAACCTCTGGTACTGAACCCCAAATTTGCTCCAATTGTGACACAGTGAGAAATATCCATTTTAAGTCAACAGAAAATACAGCTAAAACCAAGGGGGTGATCTCCTGGGGAGGATGGATGTCTGCACCCATGCTTCTTTCCCTTTTTCATCAATAAAATCAAACCAGTAAGAGCCTGCATGCCTAGATCAGAAACTCGAGGCAGGGTGCACATTGTCTGATCGTGTTTCCCATGAGGCTGCCCTCCTTACAGCAGTGGGTAATCTTTGCTGTAAGGAGCCAGAGAAAGGCTTCGCAGGAGACTTGGCCATGAGGTTGTCCTTCTCCATGAGCTATTGGTGGAGTCTAGCCACTAGAGGGAGGAAAAGATCTGTGCTTTGTGTTGGCAGAGAGAGTAGCACTGTTGGCCATCAGAGGCCCTACCACTTTTTCCATTGGAATGTGGGACACTGGGGACAAATCTTAGCTGTGTTCAGCACGTTGTGAATTTTTATCTTACTGTTTCTATAGCTGAGTGTTTTTTTCAAGCTGAGAAATGTAGCCATGAGACAATTTCAAAAAGTCCCTATGACTTGATGCACCTGGCTTTGTTGGACTTCATGGCTGCTGCGTGTTGTTTCCTTGTGCAGGGCTCCATAAAGGACCAGCTCAAAGCATACGGTGCTCTGACTGAGAACGTCACTCGGAAGTACACCAGGCAGATCCTGCAGGGAGTCTTCTACTTACACAGCAATATGATTGTCCACCGGGACATTAAAGGTGAGCAGATCATGCCAGGAGGCTTCTTGATGCTTGCTTCACCCTAGCACCCCCCCGGCCCAACATCATTCTTGTGCAAAATACAGTGCTGGGATCTGGTATTTTTGCCCCAGCTTTGCCTCTTGCCTTCAACAGTTTGAACCATGAGAATCTTGCACGAGCAGCTAAAACCAAATTCTTGTTCTGTCTTTCTGCCTGGGATTCACATTAAATACTCTTACTGTTCGCTGTCCGTGCAGCCATCAGATCTCTACACTTCTAAAAATCTAGTGCAACATACCCAAGAATTGAGAGACCCTGGCAATCAGAGGGATCTGAGGCTCTCTTCTGTTGTCAGGGCATGGGGAGGATAATTCATCATCTCACTGCTCACTTTTGGGGAATCTGCTGACTGAGGGCCGGTCGGAATCAGCCCTGCTGGACCGCATCTGCCTTAGCAGAGTGAAATTTTGTGTACCACTGAATGCAGCCCCAGCATGGCCCTTTGGGCTCTCTCTTGTGCTTTTTGCCTGTGCCCTTCCTGCTGTCCTCACTGTTGCTGCTCAGCTAGCTTGCTGCTTCATCTCTTGGTGTTTTTGTTGTTGCTTTGTATCCCTAGGTGCCAATATTTTGAGAGACTCTGCTGGAAATGTGAAACTTGGAGATTTTGGGGCCAGCAAACGCATCCAGACCATCTGCATGTCTGGGACTGGGATTAAATCTGTCACAGGAACACCATACTGGATGAGCCCAGAGGTTATCAGTGGAGAAGGATATGGAAGGAAAGCTGATGTGTGGTAAGGAGTACACTACAAACCCCACTACTACCATTTAAACAATCCTTTTGGGAAACTGTAGCAGGAACAACAGGCATAGCTAAGTGTTTGGAAGACAGAGCAATGCAAAGGATGAAAATGGGAGTTGAATGTTAGGATTGACTGACGGATGTGAGTCGTAGCTGAAGGTCTCCAAAGGAGAGCACTCAAAACCACAGCTTGCCTGATAGGAAGTCCTGATACGTTAGGGCCATATGTGGCTCCAGCCCATAGCTGTTGTTTCAGTCTGAAAAACAGGCTGATTACAAAGTTTGTCAGAAGAGCTGTTGTGTTTTGGTTGCCCTGATTTTAAGTTAGCTGGATGCAGCCTCTCAAAGTCAGCTATCAGCTGTAGGATGAGACGTGAGAATCCTCTCTCACTGTGGGAGCAGTGAGCCCTGTGCATAGTGCTGCCTCAGGCCCCTGTCTGCTGTCTCACCCCTGCCTGTCGTTGTTGTTGCAGGAGCGTGGCCTGCACCGTGGTGGAGATGCTAACAGAGAAGCCGCCGTGGGCAGAGTTCGAAGCCATGGCAGCTATTTTTAAGATCGCCACCCAGCCGACCAACCCCCAGCTCCCCGACGGCGTCTCCAGCTCCTGCCGCAACTTCCTCAAGCAGATCTTTGTGGAGGAAAAGCGAAGGCCGACGGCTGAGGACCTGCTGAGGCACCCCTTCGTCAACTGCGGGCTCTGAGCCCTGGCTGGAAAGTACTGACGGGAGGGGGGATGGCCGCCAGATCCACGGCCCTTTTGCACTCTGCATTCAGACCTCAGCACTGGGCCATCCTGGTGGTGGCCCCACAGGTCACTTCTTGCCCGTCACTACCTTGGTGGCTGCTGCCTTGTTGAATTTTGAAGCCACGCACGGGACGGTCGGAGGCTGGGGATGGTGGCCACCACCGGGAGTGCAGAACAGGACTTCCCAGACATCCCATTTGTGTCAGCCCCAGAGCGAGCAACCTCCTGCCATCAGCAGTGCTGCGGGGCATCCCCGCTCACCAGGTCACTTATCTCTTGGGAAAAGTGCATTGGATTCATCCGTCCCCCTACCAGCAACCGCAGGACCAGCGCAGAAAGCAGATGTGCATCACTGCTCCCCACAGAGAAACACACCAGGCTTCTGCCAGGCTAGAGGAGATGATCCTCAGACTGCAGAGTTGGGGGACCCAGGTGTCACAAGGGGGAGGGAACCCGTCTGGAAGCGGCAGCATCTCCAGCGGTGCGGCGTTCAATACTGATCTGTGCCTTAAGCGGTTACAATCAAGGAGTGATTTGTGCTCGACTTGGCACGAAGCATGGAGTCGGGCACAATTAGCAGCAGCCATGTTGACAGTGTGCGTGTGTGTGTGTGTGTGTGTGTGTGTGTGTGTGTGTGTGCGCGTGTGTGTGTGGAGCTGCAGGAGGGACCCCTAAAATTAGACAGAGAGGAGCTGCTGGGTGCCCACCACTCCAAGTGGCATCAGCCCTGCAGGAGAAAGTTTAAACCACAGTTGGGTTCCGGTCTCTTTGACCAACACTAGTCTGCTGGAAAACCTTCAGGGGGTAAACACAGGGTCCCTGGAAGCCAATGAGTGTCTCAAGTTCTTGACAGGACAAGGGGGAATGGTTTTAAACTAAAGAGGGGAGATTTAGATAAGATATTATGGGGGAATTCTGCATGATGAGGGCGGTGAGGCCCTGGCACAGCTACCTGGAGAGCTGTGGGTGCCCCATCCCTGATGATGCTCAAGGCGTGGTTGGATGGGGCCCTGGGCCGCCTGATGTGCTGGGGAGGCTCATGGCTGGGGACTGGATGGGCTTTAATATCCCTTCCAATCCTTCTATGATTGCATGATGCCACAACTCTACAAAATCTGCCCCCTTTGGAAGGCCTGGTCCCCTGGCTCATGTGTGTATGTATGTGTGTGTGTGTCTGTGTATGTACACATGTGCATGTATACATGCACGTGAGTGTGACTCGCTCCTCAGGTGCCTTTGCCTTTTAATTTTTTAAAACCCTCGCAGTGTTCTGATGTACAAACTAGGAAAAGAGAATGTAATATTATGCCATGTAAATTTCTTTTATATATATATATTTTATTTCGGCCATAGTGTGTGAGAGCTCTCCGCGCTGTCTCACCGTGTAGCGTAGAGAAACGTTTTCCTTTCGTCGGGAAAAGGCTCCAGTGTGATATTGTATATCATCTTTACCGTGTAGCCTATACATCTGTATAATTCCTTCTTATTGGGCCAGTTATCAGTAGGCAACCACTGTACATAGGGAGAGCTGTGCCAGGGCATGACGGGGCCTGCAGAGCCCGGAGTGATCGCCCTGAGCATCCAGGGCTGGCGGCTGTACCCCAATAATGAACCCGTGCGGCTCAGATCCCTCGGCTCTGTGTGGCTTCGTGTTGTGGCTGTGCTTTGTGGGAGCCTGGGGACCTTAGGGGGTAAGGGGGCAGAAATTCGTGCAGTCATTAAGGTTGGAAAAGATCAGAGATCACCAAGTCACCCCAGCCTAACCCTCCATGCCCACACCCCTCAGTGCCACATCTCCATGGCTCTGGAACACCAGGGACACCTCCACTGCCTCCCTGGGCAGCCTGTGCCACTGCATTACCACTATTTCTGAGAAGAAATTGTACATAATATCAACCTGAACCTACACTGGCACAACTTAATGCCATCACATCTGATTTTATCACTGTTACCTGGGAGCAGAGGCCAGCCCCCTCAGCACAGTCTCCTCTCAGTTGCAAACAGCACTGAGGTCTCCCTGAGCCTCTTCTCCACACTGAACAACCCTCAGCCGCTCCCATCACACTTGTGCTCCAGACCCCTCACAGCTCCTCCTGACACAACCAGGATGCCGCTGACCTTCTCGGCCACCTGGGCACACCGCTGGCTCAGCTAACACCCACAGGTCCTTCACTCTGCGCCAAGCCCGCAGCGGTGCATGGGGCTGTTGTAACCGGCGTGTAGGACCCGGCACTCAGCCGTGCCGAGCCACATACAGCAGCCCAGCACCGACCCCTCTGTAGGGCCACCGACCCTCGGACTTTGTTGTCAGCACGGCGCCCGCCCCACTCTGCGCAGCGCAGCGCAGCCCGTCACTGGGGGAGGACGAGGGCGGGAGCGCGGGGCGGGATCGCGGCGGCGCGGGGCAGCGCAGGCGGACAAGATGGCGGCGGTGCAGCCGGGCGGCGGGGCGATGAGGCGAATGCGAGCGGTGCTGGGGCACCTGTCGGGCACGGGCGACGTGAGGGCCGTCCCGTGTGGGAGCCGCGCCGCGGCATCCGGTCCCGAAGATGTGGTGGTGGTGCACGGACGGAGGACGGCCATCGGCCGGGCCAAGCGAGGAGGCTTCAAGGTACGGCATGGTTCCCCCAGCTCGAGGGGCGGCGTTCGGGGTCACCTCACGCTGCGACCCCGTGGGTCGAGGAGGAGAGGCGATGGCGGGGCGGTTATCAGCGCTCGCTGCATGCTGTTAATCCCGCGTGCTTGTAGGACACCACGCCCGACGAGCTGCTGTCTGCCGTCATGACAGCTGTCCTGCAGGACGTCAGTCTGCGGCCTGAGGCGCTGGGAGATATCTGCGTTGGTGAGCGATGGGTGCTGTGTGGGGATGGCTTTTGGGATGCCTCTGCCTGCTGGGTACTTGGGGGCACGAAGGGGTGAACGTGTAGCGTTACAAAATCAGGACATCTGTCTGTCCCATCGAGGGGTTGGGCTCCGTCGTGCTGCCCCGTGGCCCCGACCACCGGCTTGGTGATGTTAACATCCCTCCAGCATCCCACCGGGTGGCAGGGCAGTGCAACCACTGACCGGGCCCATGTCTTTGCACCCAGGAAACGTGCTGCAGCCGGGAGCTGGAGCTTTGATTGCGAGAGTTGCACAGTTCCTAAGGTAAACTCTCACCTCGTCGAGGTTCCTTCTCGGGTCTTGGCTACAGAGCAGCACTGGGTCACAGGCTGCGATGAGGCAAATCACCTTTTGCCCACAAATCAGACTTTTATCAAGCGTTTGGAGAGCACTGTGCAAAGAGGCATTCCCTTGCATGCATACATTGCTAACCTATCAGGAGCAGCAGTGACTGAGGTGGAATGGGGAGCAGGACCTGTTTACAGAGTGCTTTCTGAAGGTAGACCTGGGGGCATTGACACAGAGCTGCTTGCAAATCAAGTTTGGAAATCATCGATGAACTTTGCTTTCTCTTGGTGCAGGACCAAATAGGTCAACAAATGCATAATGGGATCTGTCTTGAGCATGAGGGTTAAAGTTTAATCAGGTGGCTTAATGTTCTCTCGAGGGGTTTGCTTGTTCTGTGCTTCTTGGTGCTGAGTCTTTGTCTTGTGTTCTAGTGGTATCCCAGAGACGGTGCCTTGCTCGAGTGTGAACCGGCAGTGCTCCTCTGGGTTACAGGCCATTATCAATATAGCTGGTAAGTGCATGGAGTATTATGGGCTCTCAGGCTAGAGTCCCACCCCAAGTGCTTATGTATCCCATTGATTTGTCCTCCAATCTCTCCAAGCAGTAAAAACAGCCATAATGTTTTCTGCTGTTAGGAGTTATCAGTGGATTGTTGATGGAATGCTTTTGTATCCCTGCAAAGCTGAGTTTACCCTTCCAGATGTGACTTGGTCTCCTGAAGATGAGATCTGCCATACATTCCACATCTAGAAGGGTCAGTCCTGGCCTCACCACAGTATCATAAAAGCAGTGAAGGGACCTAAAAAAGAGCATCTAGTCTAGCTCCCTTGCAATGAACAGAAACTTCTGCAGCTCCATCAGGGACATCTACAGCTAGATGCAGGCCAGGCTGTAGTTGGTCTTCAGCCATACCACCTTTTGACATGGCAGCCAGGAACATGGAGGGAGTGCCCCATTCAGGTGTAAGAGATGTCAGCTTTTCCAGATCCACAGCCAAACTCAGAGTGCTTTTGCTCTCGATGATAATAAGAGTGCTTGTGCACTTCTGTTACAGGTGGCATCCGAAATGGGTCATATGACATTGGCATGGCCTGTGGGTAAGCATATCTTTTTATGGCATTTGCTTAGGCTTCCTGAAAGTAGTGCTATGTCCTTCTGCTTGTGCATGAGGAGTTAGAGATCCCTTCCAAGCAGATCTATGTTCCTCCCAAGAAAGAGATGCTGTCATTCAGAGAGTGGATCTCTGAAAGTCACCTAGTCCAACCTCTGCTCAAGGATATCTTGCATTTTCCAGGGATATTTTCTTCACAGCTTGCTCTTTATTAATGTATTTATGTGGTACAGAGTAGAATTCAAACTCTCTTCCCATCTTAGGCTTCATGATCTGGGTTGACTGTACACAAGCTCGTTAGTCTAAGTGGTGGTTTTATATTTAGATGGTAATATTGGGTGTTTTCAATCTGCTCACTCACTTGTAGGTCAAAGACCATGGGATCCGTATCTGAAATTCTTTGTGTTGCGAAATGCAAATGGCACAACTCGTTCATGTTTCTTTGTCATGGGTTGCTTAATACTTACATTGTTATGCTGCCAGTGGGTTTTTAAGCTGTACCTGGCTATCATAGAATCACTGACTCACTAAAATTGGAAAAGACCTCTAAAGTAATCTAGACCAACCATCCATCTACCAACTACCAATATTGCCCACTAAACCATGTCTGAAGTCCCACATTTCCATGTTTCTTGAACACCTCTGGGGGTGGTGACTCAGGCACCTCCCTGGGTAGCCTGTGCCAGTGCCTGACCACTCTTTGGGTGAGATTTTCCTAACACCCAACCTAAACCTCACCTGGCATATCTTAGGGCCGTTCCTTCTCATCCTATTGCTGTTATGTGGGAGAAGAGGCCAACCCTTACCTCACCACAGTCTCCTTTCAGGCAGTTATAGAACCTTGGGTTTCTCATCACATCTGAAGACAAGTGCAAGGATGGTCAGCAATTCCTTCCTTGGTATAGAACGTGAGAAATTAACTGTTGACTTTGATACGGTATTGTATAGCAAAACAAAGACCAATTTAGTCTGTTTTAGTTTTGTGCTATAATTGTATATTGATGCTTGAAGAGCTTCTGCCTTGGGCAGTTTTTACATACTGGTTGTGTTTCTGTGGGGAGATAGGGAAGAATGCTGTTGAGTAACTGAGTTTTGATGGGTCACAAATGGACAAACACTAGAAATGGAAGCAGCAGTAGTAACTTCAGCTCTTTCCTGTGTTTAGTGTGGAAACAATGTCCCTCAGAAGTGGAAATAATCCTGGTGACATCAGCTCCAGCATGATGGAAAACAGCAAAGCTCGTGATTGCCTTATTCCCATGGGGTAGGTACCAAGCAGTTCCACGTTGAGAAGTCTGCAGCTAGCTTCAAGATTGAAGCCACTGCCTGTAGCTTGGGTTGTTCTGGCAGAAGCCAACTGCAGCATCACTGGTTGTGTCATTGGATTCTTTTTGCTGATGTTGTTTTCCCCAGAATAACCTCAGAAAATGTGGCAGAGAAGTTTGGAATTTCCCGAAAGAAGCAGGATGCCTTTGCCTTGGCTTCCCAACAAAAGTAAGTGCCTTCTATTTTATCTTTTTAACTTTTGGTTAAGGAACAGAGATAGTAAAACAGATTTTAAAAACCCAACAACAATAAAACATTGCTCCTCCCATAAGTAGTTAAGTATAGACTTCATCTTGGCTTTCAAAACTTGATGTCATGGAATCATTAGGGTTGGGAAAGACCACTGAGATCATCAAGTCCAACCATCGTGTCCAGGGTGGTGTGCTAAGGAAGCCAAAGCTGCACTGGGAGGTGTGTGTTCTTGCAGACACATCACTAGACATACAAGTTTGAGCACTGAGTGCACCTGTATTTATTAGAATTTAAAGGATACAGCTGTCATGGGGTTTCATAGTATTTTCATAGTGGCTTTGGCTCAGTGTCATTTTAAACTGAACATGAGTGCTGCAGCAGAAGGAATCTTTCCTAAGAGGAAATATTTGAAAGCAGCTGTTTGTAGAGAACTGCTGAGCTGATATGAGTGGCTTCACTGTGCTGCAGGTGTTTGGCTTCAAGTGAGCCCAATTCTGCCTCCAGTAACCTTTCTCTTAGGTTAAACCATTGCCAAAGTAAGCAGACTCCTGGAGTCCCTGGGGCTTGTGGTGGTGGGTGAGACATAAAGCTAGTGGCATCAAAGAGTTAATCTGACTTTCAGAATCCTGTTTGAGCATCATCCCGGTCCAATTATTTATCTAATACAGGAAACCACTGCTCAGGCCAGTTAACCTTTACATTCTGGCCGTGCTTCTAAGGAACTTGGCATGCCAGGCATTCTCACTGACATTGAACTGATAGCACAAAAGGGTGTGTGAACATGATCCTCACCTCTCACCTGAGGAAGAAGCAATTTTCTGGCCTTTGGCTCAGGATGTCTGTGGGCTTACTGAGCTGTCCTTCAGCTCTTACTCCACCTTATTTGGAAATATTAAATATTTACGTTTTATGAATTCAAATTGAAAAGGGATCTCGCTCAGAAGTTATTTTAACCTTCTGTGCTTTTCTTTTAACAGAGCAGCAAAAGCTCAGCAGATGGGACTGTTTAAAGCTGAGATTGTCCCAGTGAAGACCACTGTTCTAGATAACGAGGGCAACCAAAAGACAATCACTGTGCACCAAGATGAAGGGGTCAGGCCCTCCACGACCCTGGAAGGTTTAGCAAAGCTGAAGCCTGCCTTCAAGGAGGATGGCAGCACTACAGCAGGTCAGCTCTGTTGTTACATTGCTGTCATTCCCCTGGCTTGCCTGCCTTCCCATACAGCGTGCAGGCAGAGGAGGTGCTCATAGATTTCTTCCAACAGGTAACGCCAGCCAGGTCAGCGATGGAGCGGCTGCCGTCCTGCTGGCAAAGCGCTCCAGAGCCACGCAGCTGGGACTGCCCATCCTGGGAGTGCTCAGGTCCTTTGCTGTGGTTGGAGTCCCCCCAGACGTGATGGGCATAGGGCCAGCCTACGCCATCCCTGTTGCTGTGCAGAAGGCGGGTAAGGAACCGGCCGTCACTCGCACAGTGTTCAGCACGGGGCTGAGCCACACTCTGACTGAAATCTGAGGGGATTTTGCTAGCAGCCAGAGAAACAGCTTACATTCAGAACCTTGAAAGAGGTCCTAGGATCATTCTAATACTATTAGCTTCTGAGTTATTGTCGTGTGCTCACCTTTGAGAAGCTCAGGATTAAAGCCCTGCACACTCACAATGAACTGTTAACATGTGGCACGTGACTTAGTGTTCACATAGTGCTATTTTCACTTAGTGCTTTTTTCACTTAGCATACCTACAGTGTGTGTGTGTGGTTTGCTTGTTTGTGTTCTGGTTTTCTTTATAGTTTTGGCATCTGACCCATGGAACAGACTTTCCTCAGGTTTTTACCATACTCACAGGGTTAAATAGCTCATGGCTATTCTTGTATCTCCCTGTCATCACTGTGGTCATAGGCTTGGCTGTACTGTCATCTTTCTGTCTCAAAATACTCTTCAATCCTTAATCTCTGTGCAAAGAAATCAAATTTAATTGATGTCTTCAAACTCAGTGATAGGATACCAAGGGCTGTGATGTTTTGCAGTCTTTAGATACTGTTACACATAGGGCTGTGATGTTTTGCAGTCTTTAGATACTGTTATACATAAACATGCATGTGAATGTAGACACCTCATGGGGAGCCAGGGTCCTCTCCTTTTGCTGCTAGTGGAGTAGAAGTACAATTCATAAACGAAGACTTCAAGTTATTCCCTTTGATGCAAGTGATAAGGCAAAAATATCTTCTAAATCTTTACTTTTCTGAACTGTAGGTCTGACTCTGAATGACATTGATATATACGAAATTAATGAAGCCTTTGCAAGCCAGGTGAGTGAACATCATCACTGTGAGCCATTATGTTGTTTTGAAACGTTATCTTTCACTTTGGTCTCAAAATTAAGATTTGAACTTGTTCCATGGATTACATTTCTCTGGCCAAATGTTAAGAACACATACAGGCTACTTTCATTAAGTAGAAATAAGCAGGGAATTGTCTATGTAGCTTAGGATTGATTAAAAATAATAATCAGACGACTCTCCACTAAGTATAGAGAATGTGAACCTTATGGTTGTATCCTTACACCAACTTGGGAAGTTGCTGTTTCACAAGGGCTGTGATTTGTAACTGGGTGATGTCAGCGTGTTGCAATTTCAGCATCCTTAATGAAATGAAGAAACTTTGCTCGTGTCTTCCACAAATATGTGCCTTGCCTGCTGAAAGTCTGTAGGCTCATTTGAGATGAAGGTTGATAGGTTTAGCTTGCTTCATGTGTTTTGGATTTGTAACGTAGTTCCCTGCCTTCCAGGGTCTAGCTGATGCCAGGCTGCTAAAACCTAACTGCTTAATACTAAAATCCTTTCAAAGCAGCTGACACAACAGTGTGGGTTTTATGTCAAAGAAAACATAATCGAGCTAAGTTCATTTTGAGCACAGATCTTTGGAAGCACCTAGACCTGCCTAGGACTGTCAGCCCAGCTCTTTGTGTACGGAGGAGATCACCAGTCTGCTCTGCAGCCCTCTGAGCTCTCTGCTGCAGGAGAGCTGAGAACTAACAGGTGAGAGCACCTCTATGAAACAATCCCCTGTCTTTACAGGCTGTGTATTGCGTTGAGAAGCTGGGCATTCCCCTGGAGAAGGTCAACCCCCTGGGAGGAGCAATAGCACTGGGGCACCCGCTGGGCTGCACTGGCGCTCGTCAAGTTGTCACTTTGCTCAATGAATTGAAGCGTAGAGGGAAAAGGTGAGCACCAAACAACAGTACTGGCCTTCAGTGTATCCAGAGGTAATTTAGGCATGGCATTGGTTTGGGTTTTGCCCTTCTCCCATTCCTTTGATAGCTTTGAACATGGAGTTAGAATTTTTTGGTGACACTGGAGAGCAGTGGATAGCTGGAAGTTAGTGGATTTCTTTTCTTGCCAGGTAGTACAAGCCTGATGTTTATCCTAATTCTCTGTATTCTTTCATTTCAGAGCATATGGTGTTGTATCAATGTGCATTGGAACCGGCATGGGAGCTGCAGCAGTATTTGAGTATCCAGGGAACTGAACTCCAGCATACTGACAGCCCAACACAGCAGCTCATTCTCTGCCTTCTCCAGTACTAGCAAATGATTTGCACTCTGAAATCAAGTGGATTCAGGTTTTCGTTACTAGATCTACAAATTTCAGGCACAAAGTGTGAAGTAGAATGAATCATACAGGGCTGATGTGCAGGTGGGAGAATGAAAACCAGCACCTGCTTCAGAGCTGAAAAGCAACCTAATATGAGAAAAGGAATGAGTTCAGCTGAAGTTCAAATATAGGCCCTACAGTGATGATTATTAACGAATACTTCTAATCTAATTTATCTCTTTATTCTGTGAATATTATCAGTGTAGTTCATTGTACCCTTTCCTTGTACGACAAATCTAAAACTGCTTCCCAAAATGAAAATGTCATTGCAGAGGAAATGGCCTTCCTAGCGTTTTCTTGAAGAATTCACCATCTTGCAGGAGGTCTGGCAAGGCTGGTTTTGAAAGACTTCACGTTTCCTTGATAACCTAAGTGCACCTGCCCACTGTGTCATAACTTGGCTAATGTCTTAAAGCCTCCCTATGCTGCAAGATGTACTTCAGCTTTGTATATTTTTCTCTTAAACCACGCTGCTCTCAGACTTCCAGTGGGGCAAAATGGAAAGGGCAGAAAGTCATTTACCCAGGAGCAAGGTACAAACAAGCTGTTGGGATGCCTGAATACAAAGGTGCTGAAGAATTGAATAGAAACCAGGAGTTTGAAAGTGGCCATTCCAGCTGGTCCAATGTATTTCTGTGAGTTTCTATGACTAACTTAGAAGACAAGTTTCAGCCTAATGAGTTATTCTTTATATGAAGCAGATTTCAGCACTACATGAACTTCGGCAACATCTCAGTACATCAGTGCTAATACTGATTTTGTCTTGTAAAATCTTAAATTATCTGTTCTCCTTCTTGGGAACAAAAAGATCAGTGAAATTCTCAGCTAATAGACTGAAAAAGAAATGCAGTAATCACCTTTGACACATTAGAAAGTTTAAATTTGTAACAGACTGAGGTTCTTTGTCCTGGATCTTGTCTTTGCACTTAATAATACAATTGTTCTCCTGCACTGTGTTTGCATTCTTTTTATTTTGATTGTTATTTGAAGGTCAGGACTAGCTGGAGCCATTTGATGTTCTTCCATTCCTGCATCCAGTCTCACCAACAGCTTCATATGTATTCACAGCTCAAAGATGGAATTATTTGGGGGGGTAGAGAGGCAGTAGTAGCTTCAGAGTCATTTGTGCACACTGAGGTTACTTTCTATGTACAAAGTAAGTTCTGCTTTAAAGCAGGCAGAAGGGAGATACCATCTTCTGTTCTCTTCCAGTGTAGATTGCAGCCCCTTCCTCCCCTCACTCAATGGGAGTAGAAAACAACCTGAGAAGTGGGAGTTTCAGTGACCTTCAGCTGAAGTAATACTAAAAACATCTGAAGAGATGTCTATGGGAACCATAGGCAAGGAAGGAATTAAAAGGCAGAAGGATTTCTCTTTCCAATAGCTGAAGGGGCTCTTCTCAGTACCCAAGCATGATGAAACATACAGGAGGCCGTGGGAAGTTAAGTTGGCTCTGTGGCTTTGCTCATATTCATGGAAGGTGCTGAGAAAAAGCCCAGGAATGCTGCCCTGTTCCCTAATTGTCAAACAATGTTCCCTCCCCCCAAAAAAGGACAAAACAAAAACTTTTTTAAAGCAGTAGTTTCAACTGTAATTTGCAGCATATTTTGCTGAACACTGCTTTGGCCTAACAGTTACCATGGCTGGCAATTTAAAACATCATTTTGCAGAGCCTGGCTCTGCTGGTAATGATAAGCTTATCACAGCAATACAAGTCACAGCACAGGATAGGATTACGACTTTTCAAAGCACCACGAGTGGGTATTTTTCTCCTCATAACTTTGTATTCTGCTAAAATTTCAGTCCATGTGTAGCAGCTGAAATGAATGAAAGTACAGGTTCAGCTTACACTGGTTTTGCAGCTGATTTTTTACCTTGGCATTTGTCCCTCATCTTGCTTCAGTCAATACATGTCTTCATACTTCCCATCGTATGTTCCTTGTCCCCTGATCTGTAGCTTGCAAGGCTTCTCTCCCAGGATCCCAGTAACTGTCAGGATTGTTTCATATTCAGTGTCACTCCTAAAATGGAGAGGGGGAAGACATAAACCGCTACAGCCGGACCCATCTCTGTGTTTCAGGATGAGATCAGTTTCCTTACAGAAGAAAAAGGAGAGACTAAGGAATGAGCTGTTCCTCATCACTAACACTTTCCAACAACAGTGTGGGACAGGGACCTGGCTTCAGGTTCATGTCCTCTGGCTACATAGGGAGTGTTTTAAACAATGCTAGTCTCTACCTCACAAGGACTGTGGGTTATTGCTTTCATCAGTGAAAGAGGAACTTGACTGCATTCCCAGCTGTGGAAGTCAATTTGAGTTAAAGAAATAACACGAAGCTCTCCTGAGGGAGCAAATTGCTGGGGAGCAAATGCATGCACTGCTTTGATTTGATGATGCCTTCCTGTGACAGACAAGTTTGATAAGTTGGTAAGTTTATCCCTCGTCTTACTGCAGTTGACCGTCTACCAAGGCCAGGTTGTAAATGAACATCAAAAAGCTCCCAGCAAGTGTACTTTTAGCACTTGTGCCAAGTAGAAATCTTGCAGCATAGTCTACTTAAGGCTAGTGTTAACCAACCACACTGAGATCATCCATCTGAAGTAGTTCTTGTCTTCTAAGAGATGGCTATAGTAAAGGCCTGCCTCTGTCCTGCCAGTATAAAATTTCCCTGCAGGAAGACCACTCATTATAATCTCCTCACATGTAATTATTTCCTGATGTCATGCTAATTCTGAGCTCTTCTGTGCTGGTTATTATGGTCCAGGGCCAAGCAGGTGGGCTGGCTGCTATACAGTAAGGTCTCTGCTCTCCGGTAGGTGCAGCAGAATGCCTGAAATAATCTGTTGGCAGGCAAAATTAAGTGCTTCAGGCAGACAAAAGGAACTGCCAAACAATTTAAGTAGTAGAGAATCTGAGGAAGTCTCTGGTCCAAGACATGCTCAGAGCAAGGACAGCTTAACAGCAGCTGCTCCACTCCTCATCCCAGAGATTCCAATAGCTCCAGCAATGTAGGGCTCAGAGCACAACCCAGGGCACCTGCTTACAAAAATAACTCACCTGTAATTTGCTTTGTCTAACATCACTGTCAGCAGCATTCAGAGTTCACTGACAACATTTCAGTAAGATGTCCATAAATGTAATTAGAACAATATCAGATGTTTACAGGAGAGTTATTTGCATCTACTCTCTTCTGCCCTTTGCTGTTATCTGCCTGCAGCTCACGTTATCTTTGTTGTAAGGAAAACCTTTGCACTACAGACAACAGCATTGCACTGATACATTTTTTCCACCAAACATCAACGTGATTTGGCCTGTTCAGCCCAAGCATTGCACCAGGCTAAACAAGAGTAAAATGAACTGTATCTTTCCAGGAGAATTTGCATTTTGAGCTGTTTGCTCATTAGGAGCTTTTTGGAAGTGCAGGAATTGAAAAAGTTACTTTTAGAGTGCCTAAACTGAAATGAAGGATCCTTGAGAGTGGCTGCCAGACTTTGTTCCTTCAAGCAAAACAAGGAGGTATGTTACTGGACACATTTCTCCCTTTGTCCTTGCAAGGGGCTGGATGCATACCGGAGTTAACTGTTGCATCAGCCTCTGCACTGAACTGCAGGCCTGAGATTTGCTCTCCGTTGAAGATATTACCCTACAGGCAGGGATTGAATCCAGTCATACAGTATGTCATACCAACTGTTGTCACAGCATGTCTGAAATTTGGGGTGAGAAGTCTAAAAGAAATCCTGTATGCAGAAGCAGCACAGGGAATGGGGTTATATGGATAAAGCACTAGCTGGAAGCACAGGATTAGCATCAGAAGCTGGTAACACAAGCACAGGGCAGCGCTCCTCTCTGCTCTCAGTGACTTCTCACAGCATAAGAATGGGCTTCTCAGGGACTAAGGGCAGGGTTTCAGTTTTGCTAACTGTACCTTGCAGTAAAGGTGATCTGCAACATGTCTTTGGTAGGTTGCTCCCCTTCACGTGCCTCCAGGATGCCGTTAGCAGGGGAAACAGAAAATACTTCCAGGTCATTGTGCCTTTCTTGTTGATCTGCAATGACAAAGGCAAGTAGCAAACAGTGCAACACAAAAGCTCTTATGTAGGTTTTAGTGCTATGTGCTCTACAAAACAATACACCTCCTGGCCTGCCAACTAATCAATACATCACTTCTTGCACTGTCACAGGTTTTCTACGCAAGTGGCCAGTTTCAATTTTCATCCTTTAATCAAGGGCAGTGATCAACATCCTCTGTGTCTGACTAATCAGGCCCTGCTCTTCTCTCCTCTGAAGTCCATCTGTTGTTAATCCCATTAGGCACAAATTCAAACAGCTCTCATGAGGAGCTGCTGCTCCTTGTTGCCTCCTGGGATTGTATTATAAATGAACTGAAAGTGAGGGCTGTGATTTGATCTATTGGTTAAATCTGGAGTAAAGGTTGAAATCAGCAGGGATATGCTCGTGTAAAAACAACAACAGTCCCGCATACGGGAGAACAGAAGTGAACACGGTCATCTCATATCAGCTATTGATATTGAATACATGCAGTCTTTAAAAACAAAAACAAAGCAAAAAAAAAAAAAACCAAAACAACAAACAGAACAAAGAAACTACATAGCAAGGAGATCCCATTGCAAAACACAAATATATGCAATACCTAGCAAAGCAGTCCAGTAAATTCTACAGCCACTCCTGTTACACAGGAAGACATGTTTAGTCTTGGTCTGTGCAACAAAGCAGGTCTTGAAATCAACCATGTTGCAAGACAGCTCCAGAACTGGAACAGTAAGGTATGCAGTCACTGGGATCAGCTACAAAAGAGAGAAAAGGGAAAGAAAACAACAGGACACCTCATTTTTGTATCACAGAATCATGGAATATCCCAAGTTGGAAGGGATCCCTAAGGATCATTGTGTACTTACTACAGCTGGGTTGTTTTACCTCAATCACTACATCACCAGTACTTACCTTCTGTGCTCTTTTGCCATTGAGTCTATTCCCCATTCTACAGCTTTGAGTGAATTAAGTTGTTGCTGGTTTTACTATTTTGGGGCAGGTTTTCAAATGAGATGCTGTGGTCTTGACGAAGTAACACAGAGTGAACATTGTGATTTGTTTTTTAGGTTTTGCTGTGGAGATGCAGACATGACAACATCCTTGAGGACTGTATACAGCTCACTGTGAATCATTCAGTTTGTGCACATTGCCCAAGAATATTAAGTTGACTGTATCTTAGATATGGTGCTTGGATCTTACAGCTCAGTCCTCAGAATTACGTGGTGTGAAAAACAGTGCCTGCAGACGATGGTTCTGGGGGCTTTATGGCTTTGCATCTAGAAGAGATCAGTCTTTAAACACAGGTGGGCTGTGACTGCACCGCATGAGCTGGACAGATGGGATTTTCAAGGACTAGGGTGCTGCAGGAGGCAGCTCTTGCTGGCTCAAAGATGCTGATGAAACACAGCTCCTTCTGAAGGTCCATAGCAGTCAGCCTCATCACAGAATCACAGAATGGCCGGGTTGCAAAGGACCACAATGCTCACCTAGTTTCAACTCCCCTGCTGTGTGCAGGGTAGCCAACCACCAGACCAGGCTGCCCAGAGCCACATCCAGCCTGGCCTTGGCCTGGCTGCAGGGTGCTTACCTGGGTGCTGTGGTTACTGTATTCAATGATCAGATTCTGACTGAACTTCAGCTTTCTCTCTCCACTCTCAAACTGGAGCACTTCAAATCCAGGAAATACTTGGGTGTCTGGCAAATGCTGATATGTCAGCAACTCCAGGGTCGTGTGGAATGACACTTTCACCTGTGGGAAGAGGAATTCAGATGGCTGTCATATAAGACAGCACCACGTGCAGGAAATCCAAAGTAAACAGCGCCCAAAGGCCTGAATGCATGTTTTCCCATGGGAACACAAAGGCGTCATGCCAGCAACCAAACTCCCACAGGAATAAAG